CGCTCCCTGTCTGCGCTCCGGAGAAGCCAGCCGGCAGTGCCGGCACCAGCCCTGGAGATGAAGAAGCTACAAGGAGCTCACCTCCGCAAGGTAGTACAGGGCCAGGCGCACCTGCAGAAGGGTGGGAAGGCCCGGGAGGGGGTGGCGCAAGGTACGCGGACGCCCAGGCCCTGGAGGCCGGCAGAGCCTGGTTAGGGGAGGGGCGGGGTCGTGGTCTCCCCTCTGGCACACACTTGCGTCAGCCTGGGGCCGGGGTCCCTGGGCCTGGCACTGCGAACAGGTGTCTTCAGCCCTAGGAGGCGCGGGGTAGGGGTGGCCAGCCAGACGCTCACCTTTCCCGGTCCCCCACTTGCTCCCCAGGGGCTGATTATGGGCCGAGGGGTGTTGGAAGCCTTGGACCAGCCTTGGACTGGAGTAATTTCAGGCTGAGGTATCGTCCAGGCGCCCCTCTGGCCACTCTGTCCGGAAGCAGCCTTTGCCAGCTTCCACGGACCACCTTTGTCCTCGCCCACTCTGGCCCTGCGAGCCCATCACCTGCTTCCTCCCCGTTCCCTGGCAACTCCACCTTCCTGCTGAGACCCCAGGCTGTCCCCTTCTCTGCAGGGCTGAAGGGAAGCAAAAGCAGGCAGAGTGGGGGGGACGGGAGGCCCAGGGACCCCAGGTGATGCTGGAGGCTGGGAGATAGCGCCAGACCTTCTGGGTGGGGAGGGGAGCCCTGGGGGAAGTTTCTTGGCTTTTGGCTTCATAGTCCCAGCCCTAGTCAAGGAGCCCGAACTCCTGGTACAGCTGCTGCAGCTGACACTTGCCATTCTCTGACCATCCTGTTTGGGACCCACTAGGTGGAGTGGAGTGCAGGACGCTGTGACCCGGAAGGGGCCTATGGGCTGCTGTCATCACCCCCGCTCCTCCCACACACAAGCACGCACTCATTCAGGCTCTCTGTCCTTCGACAGCCGGCGTGGCATCACTGCAGGAACAGGTCCCTTCTATGGGCTGACTTGACTTTGAGGGGCCCTGTGTGGGTCTCTTGGGTCCTCTTGGTTCTGTCCCTATTTTTTCTACTCTTCTCTCTTCTCTCTGCTCTCCCTACTTCACACGAACCCCTGCCTCTCTTTGCCATAGGACTGCCAATTACATAAATAGCCACGCATTGGGAGTAGCTGGGAGTTTAGCAGCCTTGTTTCATTCAGCCATCCAAGAATTCTGTAGACTGATTCCCATGGTCCTCATCTCATTAATGAAGCAACTGAGGCACAGAGGGAGGACTGCTTACCTGGAGTTGGGATGAGCAGCCTGGAACTGGCAGGGCAGTGCGGGGGCCACTTCTCTGTGGTCTGGAAGAGAAAGGGTCAGGGAGGGAGAAAATGCCAGGGATCAGCAAGGAGGCAGCATGGCTCAGAGATAAGCACCAGACAGGACTGGAAATCAGGATCTCAATCCTAGTTTTACTCTGCCCTTAACTTAGTATTTGACCTTGGGCTCTCCCTTCCACTCCCTGAAACTTGGTTTCTTCATCTACACAATAATGAAGTTGGAATCCAGATTCTATTCTCTCTCTCTCTCTCTCTCTCTCTCTCTCTCTCTCCTCTCTCTTTCCTGAAGAAGGTAAGAGAGCATGGCTTGGGCAGTCTTACCTCTCTAGACCCTGGGGTGGGGACGGACCAGCATGTGCTGATGCTTAAAAGAGATAGTGCAGGTCTTGCAAACTTGGGTGTGTGCTTCTGCATGATCCTAGAGTGGGGAATCGGGTGCTCAGGGGCCAGAGTTCCCACCCAGGGGGAAGCATGAAGCAGCTGTGTAGCTTCCAAACCTGCCTTGTTTTCTTGGTTGCTGGCCTCTGTCTCCTGACTAATCCCATCCTTGCTGTGCCATCCTCCTGCGATTCACCCCATGGTGGTATTAGGGGCTCCATGTGGGCTCCTGATTGGCTTAGTTTTGGAGGACCCCATCCCTAGCCCTGGAACAGGAGCAAGCTTCCCTCTGATTGGGGGAGGAGGAGGAGGAGCTGGCAGCATCCTGCTCTTGGAACTGTTGTCACCATGGAAACAGAGCCGAGACCGCTCTATGAGCATGGAAAGGGCAGCTTTTCTGGAGAGATCAGAGGAGCCTCATTACCAGGACCTCCTGCCAGATGGCCTCAACAGGGCAGGAAGGTCCCAGGTGACAGGCATGCCCTCCTACCCAATGCCAAGGGCCAGGGTCAATTGGCTGCTACTGCCTCCTTCCTGGTGCTCACCTGGGAGGAGAGGTTCCAGAAGACGGATGCTCACTCAGTGGGAGAGGCATCCTTAGGGGAAGGGGTGGGGCTCAGGTAAATCTGGGAAGGGCTCCCACCCTTCCTTCAGCATATCCAAAATCATTGCAGTCCGGGCAGCACTTGTGTGTTTCAATTCTTGGGGCCTAGTGACTCTAAAGGCAGCATTTTCATTCTCTGTCATTGTTACCATCATCCATCATAATCTTGCCAAGCTTTTCTTGTCACCATTGCCCAGCCCCAGGCAAGATCACCATGGTGGTCACCACTATCCACGAAAACTAACCCAGTGCTTTTATTTCAATGCTGCCATCTGACCCATGGTCCACTCGGTCACAGCAGCCAGTTACCTCTAGTCCTGTGATGCTCATATGAGCCACACCCTGCTGTCACTTTTTCTGCTCAGTGCTGGGGATGGAGCCCATAGCCTTGCACATGCTAGGCCCTCACAACTAGTCCTCCCTTAACCATTTTGATCCCAGAAGTGCTTATATAACCACTAAAGCGTCTTCTATCACCACCTGACTTATTTGGACAGTGTTATGGGAAGAAAGTCATCTGCCAGTAGCCAGGACTGAGTTCCCAGGTAAAGCTCTGATCTGACCCTTGGGCAGTGAAACTGTGTCCCCAGCAAAGGCCGTGCTGAACTTGCCTCATGGACCAACAGAGCCAGAAGATTCCCTGAGAGTGCCAATACCTTCATCTTCTCAAGTACAGTAGAGTCCAGCATGGGAATACTGTACTCTAGTCCCTATTTGGAGTCATGTGTATATTTATCCATTAAAGGACCTCACAAGTCTTGTAGTAAAGAAGCATATTTTATTTTGTGTTAACCCAGCTTTTCTCAATCATCTTTGAGTCAAGAATCCTTTGTTACCCATGTAATGCCTATGAATATATCATGTATCTTGAGAAATGCTGATCCACCAGTCCCCCTTTTTCCAGATGGAGAAACTGAGGGTCAGAAGACTTATAAAGTCATGCAGCGCATTAGCATAGATCTTGGGCTAGAAATGCAGTCTCCTGACCTCCACTCCACTCCACAGCAGTCATAGGGTTCTTTCAAGTATTTCTCAACAGGAAGAGTGGGTCTTTTCTCCTCTCTGAAGTCCCTGAATAGTTATTTACTAATCGGCTCTCTTTGTATTTCCACTTTTCTCTGCCCTAGGGTATGAATTCCAGAGCAAGAAACCAAGATGTTGGCTTCCTGGGTCACTTTCTGGGAGCTGCTCTGAATATCAGATGGTCATCCTGGCTCCTTTGGGCTTCCTTCCAGAAGCTAGACCTAGGCAGTTGTGATCAGGCCACCTTGCATTTCCTGGGCCAGCAGGAGATGGCTAGAGCAGGGCCTTCATCTCCCAACCCCAGCCAGAAAGGGGAATGCCCAATGGGCCTCTGTGCCCACTCTGAATCAGGAAGGATGTTAGGGACTTCTGGCCTCCATTCTCCTCTGTACTTATCTCTCTGCCAGTGATAGAAAGTGTCTTTGTTACTTTTCTCTCGTTGCTGAGACAAAACACCGAATACCAAAAGTTAAAGGGGAAAGAGTTCATTTAGTCACAGTCTGTAGAGGTTTCAGTCCAAGATCGGCTGGCTCCAAGACAGAGTGGCACATGGCAGAGGGGAGGAGAAAGAGTTCCTGGTGCCCAAACCATAGCAAAAGCAACAAGGGACCTTAACAGTGCCTTTCTGTCCCTTTTATCTTTTCCAGGTTGTGGGGATTAGGGCGATGCCAAAGCAACCAGTGGACTGATGGGGTAACCACACACTCTTCATCCCAGCATCACACTCTCTAGATTCAGCCACCTCTGAAAAAACCCTATGACCACATGAGGCTTTGGGGGAACATCAAGACATGGACCCTAACAACAAGATTCTGACTTGCTGACGCACATGAGGGTTTGATAGCTTGTTCATGCTTTATGAGCCAAAATCCAGTCTTCAGTGGGCTCCTCGAGCCACACAACATAATTCTAATTCCTCCCTCAGGGAGCCCATGTTTTACCAAACTGTCTATTTCCTGTGCTAAGGGTTCCTGGCTTCTTCCTTTCTTCCCCTTACGACTGCTTTTCCTGTACACCTTCCCCGCTGGCCATCCGCCCTTTGGACATGTTTCACATTGTCTCCGTGTCTTTCATAAAATCAGAAAGGAAATGAAACCCGTCCCGCTCAGTGAGTGAAGACCTGGCTGTTAGTGTCAGGCAAGTCCATGCTCAGGTACCAGGTCTCTCACTCACCAGCCAGGTCATGTCTTGGCTGGTCATGGCTCCTCTTTGAGCCTCAGTTTTCTTCATGCTTAGAACGGAGCTTAGATGAGTACCTAGCTTGTGTGTTTGGTCTGAGGATGGATGGACACAGGTGTTGTGAGTAAAATGCTCAGTGCAAGCGCTCAGTGTGTAAGTGATTGTTAGAAAGACCATTATCACCAGTAGTGGTGGTGGCAGCATCAACTTAGGAGCATCCCTTGGCCTGGCCTCTGCTAGCCACACTGAAATCAAGCAGCTTTCTCAGTGCCTGAGCCACCTACTGGTCCCTAAGGATCCTTTGCACATGACCATATGAAGCCAGATGACAGCACCTGGTTATCTAAACCCAGAGAGTGTCTTTCCATTCAGCTGTGTCTGGTTTTGTATCTGCGGGGTCACAGTTCCTGCCTGACCTCACCTTTTTTCCTCCCCACTCTGGTCTCTTACTGACAGCCCGTCACCCCAGACCTGCTGATGACCCCCAGTGACCAGGGAGATGTAGATCTGGACATGGACTTTGCTGCAGACCGGGGCAACTGGACCGGCAAGCTGGACTTCCTGCTGTCCTGCATTGGCTACTGTGTGGGCCTGGGGAATGTCTGGCGTTTCCCCTATAGAGCCTATACCAACGGAGGAGGTACGGGCCTGAGTCCTAGGAGGGTATCTGAGGTGGCAGACCAAAGCTCTGGGGTGGATTGAGCTTTTCTGTTACCTCAGCCACTGTCTCCTATGTGACCCTGGGCTGGGAGAAAGGAGTTTACTGTGCCTTGCTCCTTTTCATCAGCCAGGTCCCTCCTGCCTTCTCCTCCCCAGGATGGATATCCACGTGCTTTCTCTCTGGGACCCACATTCCCTGGGACCCATGCTTTGTGATAAGGGCCTTTATCTGTCTATCAGGAATCGGTGTGCTTTTAATATTCTCTGCACTTCCTCCCCCTCCTCCGGAGCCCGGCTCCATCAGTCATTTCCTCTCTTTAATCTTCAGTATTTCCACCTCTCCTGGTTTCTTCCACTCAGATTGGAAACACAAAATTTCTCCTGTCTTACAAAAAATAATTCCCTTTTGTTCCTGTTTCTCTACCAGGCTACTCTTGTGAATTTCATCAACACTACTGAGGGTTAAGCGCTCACCACCTGCCAGGCCCTGGACTTAGTGCTACCTCCTTTAACCCTGACAACCTTCCTGGTTGGGCACCACTGAAATGATGAGGCAGGAGGGCCTCGTAGCATCCAAGGTCACACAGCACCCATGGTCCCGATATTCCCACCCAGAGTCAGGCACCATGGAAGATTTGTGTAATCCCAGCTACTAACCAACCTGAGATGATTTGCAAGTTTGAGGCCAGCCTGGGCAGGTTAGTGATAACCTGTAAACGGGCTATGGATGTAACTCAGAGAAACTGTGCCTACCTGGCAAGCGCAAGATCCTGAGTTTGATATCCAGTACCAGGAAAAAAGAAAAAAAAAAAAAAAAAAGTAAACAGCTGGGGATGTAGCTCAGCAGGAGAGTTTTTGCCAAGTTTGTGTGAGGTCACAGAAATATCCAACTAGCACAGTCTTCTCCAGGCCCAAGGTGCTCTTGCTGGCCCTCCGTCTCCAGCTGCGTCCACCACACTTGCTAAAGAAGGGTATATTGGTAAAGCGAGAGAAAGTCCAATAAAGCAGATGAAACCAAGCAAAGATGTGTTCATATGACCAGGAACGTGGGTCTGGAGCCAGTCACTGAGACTCCAGGGATGCACAGTGTCCAAATTCTCCATCTTGCTGCTTTCTGCTCTGCTTCGTCTGCTGACCTCATTATTTCCTGAGATACGTTCTGTTCCTCCCTGCAGTTAGGGGAAGGGTGCAGGTCCTCGGCAGGTTTAGCCGAGCTTTCCAACTGGGTGAATCTGTACAGAATTGCAGGATGGTTTCTGAATGGCCTGGCTTGGGATACACACCCATAGAGGCACCAACAGGAGGGCAGGAGGCAGCCAGTGTGACTGCAGCCCTTTCAGGGCCGTACGGTGGTGGACGGCGCTCCAAAGGAGAGGGGTGCCAGCCAACATAGAAGAACAGGGGGAGGGATGTCGGGCCCAGGATACCACAGGTGGCAACCTGGAGTATCTAAGGCAGCAAGGCCAAGAGAGGAGACCAGATTGGAGCCAGGGTCTGAAAGACATCAAGTTCTGTCCTGCGGAGTTTGCACTTGCTTCAATAAGGAATTCCCTCATTCCATTGTTCCTTCCTTCCTTCCTTTATTCACTTACCCGCTCAGCAGGAAGTTTTCCAGTGTCTGCTCTGGGCCAGCCCTGTTCTGGGCATGGGCTACAGAGGTGAGTAAAACCCTGCTGGCCTCCTTGGCCCTCAGTGGCCTAGTGAAAAGGAGAAGACAGCCCCGCAGGCTCACGGTCCCAGCGGCACTGGGATGGAGCCGGGCTGTGGGGGCAGCGGACCCTCTGAGCCCCTCCCAGCCTGCCCTGTTCCTTGCAGGCGCCTTTCTCGTGCCCTACTTCCTCATGCTGGCCATCTGCGGCATCCCCCTCTTCTTCCTTGAGCTCTCCTTGGGCCAGTTCTCCAGCCTGGGACCCCTGGCCGTCTGGAAAATCAGCCCCCTCTTCAAAGGTGAGACCTCAGTGGTCCCTGGGCTGGGCTGGGTCTCAGGGAGCCTAGGAGGTACCCATCCCCTGCCAAGCGCAGGCAGAGCAGGAAGTGAAGCCAGGTATGATGGCTTCAGAGGCCCCTCAGCCGGGCCCACAGAGGGCTCGGCGGCCTCCCAGCAGAGCCTCTCCCCACCACAGGTGCCGGCGCAGCCATGCTGCTCATCGTAGGCCTGGTGGCCATCTACTACAACATGATCATCGCCTACGTCCTTTTCTACCTCTTCGCCTCCCTCACCAGCACCCTCCCCTGGGAGCACTGTGGCAACTGGTGGAACACGGAGCGCTGCCTTGAGCACAGAGGCACCAAGGACGGCAATGGCGCACTGCCCCTCAACTTCTCCAGCACCGTGAGCCCCAGCGAGGAGTACTGGAGGTCAGGCGCCTGCGCCACTGAGGCTGGGCGGAGAGGGCAGTGTGCAGGGGTGGCGTTAGGTGACTTCACTGGATCAGCTTTGTGATGATTTACTTAGGTTCTGTTACTTTCTCTTTAGAACAAGAACAGTAGTAGTAGCTATTTGAGAATAGTGAAGGAAAGATTCATAGAAAACCATGCAGCCCAGTCTGAGGGTAGTAAGCACTCAGTGGATGCTGGCTGATAATTGTACGGTGAGATGGTGATAACAGCTGCTGTAACATTTTGGGGTTTCAGTTTCCTCCTCTGTAAAAGTGGGGGTGACGACAGTGCCTACTTCATGGGGTGTCATCCGCTCTGTCAGTTGCTTATTCATTATTTTAATAAACATTTATGAGCACCTACTACATCAGGTAAACATACAATGTAGGGACTGCACCATACATAGCAAGGACCATCTCAGATTAATAGAGTAGGAGAAATGAGACTAATGGAGTAGCATTGCTGTGAGACTTACACGAATTCAGGTAAAGCTGTTACCCCGGTGCCAGGCATGGCCAGCCCTCGGTGGCAGCTGTCCGGAGGGTATCACTGCTCACTGGCCTGTCTCAGGGCCCATTCCACAGCTGGGAAAACCAGACCCAAGGCTTGCTCAGCCATTAATAGTAGAGGCAGTACTGCCGCCTAGGACCCCTGGTTCCTGTCCTGTGCTGGGACATTGTAGAGAAGCCTGATCCCTGTGTGAGAACCGCTGTGTCGCCGGAGAACAGCCTAGATCCCTTCCCCTTCCCCCAGAGAGGCTGCTCTTGGGAATTTCCCCAGAGGGGCCCCAGGTCTAGCACTGCACAGGCCACATGGTTCATTCATCTGTCCCTTTCAGGGCCGCCCACAGTGTCTGCGCCTGCTGAAGAGTAGGTCTCACTGGGGGACAGGTTGGGCCCAGGTCTGCAGCTCAAGGCCAAGACAGCTGCCAGAAGTCTCCAGGGCCATGCCACGGCCACTGCATCAGTCAGGGTACAGGCAGGAGGCAGGGACACTGTCACCAGGGCCTAACTGGAGCAAGTGGAGTGAAGGGGCTCTCAGAAGGCCAGGAGAGCCACAGGAGAGGTCAGGCACTGGGACCAGCAATACGGAGCTGCAGAGGTGAGAGGGGCCCTGGAGACTGGAGCTCAGAAGAGGGTTCTGCTGCCTGGAGGTGAGCTCTGAGGAACAGCCACAGCCAGACTCCCAGGGTGAGAGGCGTGCACTTGCACATCTACACTCGAACCCAGATCCTCATCCCTGTCCCCTCCCCTCAGACAGGGAAGGCAGGAGTGGTAGGGAGCCAAGGCTTGGGTCAGTGAGTGTTCTGGGAGCACACTGGTGAGAGAAGGTTGGAGAGGGCCAGGGAAGCTGTCGTATGGAGAAGAGCCCGTAAGGCCTCACTGCTGGACATAGCTGTACTCCATTCCTGTAGAGCGTGGATGGTGACCACAGGACCTTTGTCTCTCACAGCCGCTATGTCCTTCACATCCAAGGCAGCCAGGGCATCGGCAGCCCTGGGGAAATCCGCTGGAACCTCTGCTTCTGCCTGCTGCTGGCCTGGGTCATCGTGTTCCTCTGTATCCTCAAGGGAGTCAAGTCTTCGGGCAAGGTGAGCCTGGACGCCCCAAGGCCTGAGAGGCAAGGGAGGGCTTCCTGGAGGAGGTGGGCAAAGACTGAGGCTGAGAGACTTCACCTAAAAGAGGAAGGAAGAGGGCACTGAGGTGGGGTGCAGCTAAGGAAAGATAAAGAGGTGGTGGGGACAGTGGGCTGGGTTTTCCTAGACTGGAACTCCCTACTGGCAGCAGCCACAGGTTATTCGAGTTGGCTTCCTGCTTCAGGAGGCTGCCCTGGCAGCTCTAGGATTGGTGAAGGTTTCTCATTTCCATTTGCACAGTCTCAGAACCCGGTCTTATTGGGTAAGCAGAGTAGTGCGCCCACCCCTGAACCAGTCTCTGTGGCCAGGAAGGTGGAATACACTGGGCTGGGCCGGATGTGGAGGCAACCCCTTCCAGGGAAAGATGGGCCCCTGGATCTGAAGATGGCCAACTAGACAAGAGAGACACAGGACCGCTGATGTCCACTGTGGGTGATGGAGGGGCAGGAAAGGCAGTAGAGCAGTTACTGACAAATTCGGAAACTTGAATGGTTCACTCAGTTATTATAAATTAGAACTTGTCCCTCAGCTAAGTGCTGAAAAGTGCTGCCCACAAGGAACAGGGCTGTTACCAGAAGACTGCGCAGACCAGGTAGAAAGCTTCTAGGAAGAGAGGAGGGGCAGTCACGGTCACAGCTGAGGCACTCAGGACGTTGACTGAAGAAGTGTGTGGGAATTCAGCAGAGGCAGAGGGAAGCTTGGGAACATCGCATGCAGAGCGGGCTTGCAGGGCCAGGGTGTGGGCAGAGAGGAGCTGACTAGTCACACACACACACACACACACACACACACACACACACACACACACGGTGCTGGGGTCGCACCCAGGGCTTCTGTGTGCGCTGAGCACGTGACCTACCCCTGAGCTATGTCACCAGCCCAGGAGGACTTTTAGCACTACGATGGTGGCCTGCCTCAGAGGATGGAGTTGGGGTGGCCTTGGCAAGTGGGTGACAGCACTGTGCTGAAGGGTTGGCCAGGCGGAGGCAGGAGGGACGGAAGGACATGCAACACAGATGATGGCCCATTCCTGGCTCACACCACCCAAGGGAGACAAGTCTCTAAGCTGAGCATGTGGGGAAGAGGAGAGGTACAGAAGGAAGGTTCGCTGCCTCTGGATCCCGGCTTCTCACAGGTGGTGTATTTCACGGCCACATTCCCCTACCTCATCCTGCTCATGCTGCTGGTCCGCGGAGTGACCCTCCCCGGGGCCTGGAAGGGCATCCAGTTCTACCTTACGCCCCAGTTCCACCACCTGTTGTCTTCCAAGGTGAGGTCCTCGGGCTGCAGGATGAGAGATGTGTCAGAGCAGAGCTGAGGTGCGGAAAGAGGACCCAGTGGGAAAGGAGGGGGTGGGCATCGACCCCTTGGAGAGCCAGCACCAGGCGGTGCGCCCGGCCCTTTGTGTGGGTCTTTTCATTTATTATTCTTAAAAATCGTATGAAATAGACACCACTCTCCTCATTTTACACTTAGAAAAACTTTAGTTCATAAGAACTAATGATAAGCTTAAGGCACTCGACTAGGGAGTAGCAGAACTGGGATTCCAGTGCAGATCTGTTGGACTCCAAACGCCAGGGAGGTATCAGTACGAATGCTGACAGTATGGTACTGACAGTTAACATTGATTGATTGATTGATTATTTATTTATTTATTTATAAGCAGGTTCTCATTTTGTAGTTCAGGCTGAACTCACTGTGTAGCCCAGGATGGCCTCAAATTCACAGCAATCTTCCTGCCTCTGCCTCCCAAGTGCTGGGATCACAGGCGTGGCCACCATACCCAGCACATTTACTATTTGTTAACCCATGGTGGAGCCTGAGCCTGCTCTAGCACTGCGCTTAGCAATAGTAACTTAGTTCCTACTACTCCCACTTTATGAGACAGGCACTGTTCCTGTCCCCTCATTACCAGCAAGGGACCTGCAGTCCAGAGCACTGTCAGCTACAAAGTTGTGAAGCTCGGATCCCCGTCCAGATCTCTCTAACTCTAGGCAGGGAAAAAAAGGGGGGTTGCATGAGCTCATTAGCAGACAAATCTGCTGGAAACTACATTAGGCACTACTTACTTATGGACTGGACCAAGCAGAGAGATCAGCTGCTAGACTGGGTAGGAAGCTGAGGCCAGGGAGGAGAGGGTCTTATCCACATCCTGCAGTGTAAGCACTAGAGCTGGACTTATGAGCCTGGCTTTCCCCACTCTGCCTGGACTGTGCACCCCAGCCAAGCCCTGCCTCCTTGCTTCTCCTGCCTGGCCTCTGTACCCCACTGTGTGCCAGCCCCTTCTCTCTGCCCTCCATCTCCTTCCTCCCCTGGCACAGGTATGGATTGAAGCCGCTCTTCAGATCTTCTACTCACTGGGTGTGGGCTTCGGGGGTCTTCTCACCTTTGCCTCCTACAACACATTTCACCAGAACATCTATAGGTCAGTGCCTGAAGCAAGGAGAGTGTCTGGCCAGGGAGGGCCTTGTGGGTTGAGGGCACAGCCATCTCACCCCGGCCTGTGCCCGGACTTCTCTTGGCAGAGACACCTTCATCGTCACTCTGGGCAATGCCATCACCAGCATCCTGGCTGGCTTTGCCATCTTCTCTGTGCTGGGCTACATGTCTCAGGAGCTGGGCGTGCCTGTGGACCAAGTAGCCAAAGCAGGTGGGCAGGCTACCAGGGTCTGGGGTAAGGGTGTGGGGAGTGTGTGCAGACGAGGGAGATTATAAATGGGTATGGTTTGTGTGCATGAGCGTGTGTGTGTGTGTGTGTGTGTGTGTGTGTGTGTGTGTGTGTTTTGCAAGAGCTTCCACATGTCTGTGCATGGTTCCTGGGTGTCCATCTGTGTGTAAAGGGCAGATATGCAAAGGAGTACTGTATGTATTGGTTTGTGTCTGGAGGTAAGTTTCTGTAAAGGTTGTTTTATCTCTCCTGCCTGTTTTGCCCAAATGAGTCATCCTGTGCTGAGCTGTCTGTGTACAAGTGACACAGAGTGAAGGGTGAGAATGGTCTTGTAAGTCAGTGTGACTTGCACCAATGGATGTCAATAAGTATATGTGTCAGTGGGAATCTTCGTGCAGACGATTGTGCACACGTGTGTGTTCTGCTGAGGTTTTCTATGTGGACCTTGTGTTTATTCATGGACACATGATCAAGTCACTTATTCTATCAATATATTCTATCTATATTTAGTGAGCACCTGGACTGGCCTGTGTCCTCAAAGTTAAGACAGTGGTAGAAGTACACCTTTGGTGCATGTCTACGTGCACTCGAGTAGGTGTCAGGGTGTTGAGTGTGTACAGGGGTCGCTGCACACCCCAGGCTGCTGACCCCTGTGTCCCTGGCCCAGGCCCTGGCCTGGCCTTTGTAGTCTACCCGCAGGCCATGACCATGTTGCCTCTGTCACCCTTCTGGTCCTTCCTCTTCTTCTTCATGCTTCTGACGCTCGGCTTGGACAGCCAGGTGAGCCCTGCCCATGGAGTGGGACCTTGTGGTGCCTCTGGTGGGGGCAGAACTCTGACACTACCTCCTGCCTCCCACCATCCAGTTTGCCTTTCTGGAGACCATTGTGACAGCGGTGACGGACGAGTTCCCATACTACCTGCGGCCCAAGAAGGCAGTGTTCTCAGGCCTCATCTGCGTTTCCATGTACCTGATGGGGCTGATCCTCACCACTGATGTGAGTAGCCCTCTGCCAGATGGGCACAGCACCTGCAGCTGTGTCTCTGGCCTGGCCAAGCAGTCACTGAGACACCTGTCTTCCTCACTGTGAACAGCCTGTCCCTCCACAGGCCCTGTCTCCTAAGGGAGGCCACGTGGCCTTGGCAGAACCTGGCTCTGAAGTCTTAGTCTTGCTGAGTGTCCTCAGACAAGTGACTTAACCTCCCTGAGCCCGTTCTCCTCATTGGTAAATGGAGGTTCTGCCACCGGGGCTGCTGGGAGATTCAAGGAGGTGAGGCAGGTGCACTGGCGGGCAGGTGGCCAGTGTCTTGTCATCCTCTTGCCCTCCTGGCAGCCTGGCTCCTTCCTGCTCACTCCCTACTAGGAAAAGGGGGCTGTGGCAGGGGGTGGAGTTAGGGTGGGGGAGCCAGAGCTGTGACTTGCCTTTCAGGGGGGTATGTACTGGCTGGTCCTTCTGGATGACTACAGCGCTAGCTTCGGGCTAATGGTGGTGGTGATTACCACGTGCCTCGCTGTCACCCGGGTGTATGGTGAGAAGGGGCCCTGAGGGTCAGAGCTGAGGCTCCCTGATGGTGGGAGAAAGGGGTCTGCTTGGGGTCCCCTTTGCCTGGTGGGTGGGGCTGCTAAGGGAGGGACTTCTGTGGGACTGCAGCGGGGCCATTCCTCCTCCCTCCGTACACAGGCATCCAGAGGTTTTGCCGAGACATCCACATGATGCTGGGCTTCAAGCCAGGCCTCTATTTCAGGGCCTGCTGGCTGTTCCTGTCTCCAGCCACACTCCTGGTAACCTGGGTGGGAGCGAAGGTTGATGGCTCAGTTCCCTCTATGTTCAATCTGGCAGGGCCACCTTGGCACAGAGCAGAGCCTCTATCCAGGCTGTGGGTGGATATGAGGGTCCCATCCCACACCTCTGTCCCCTCCCAATGCCCCCAGCTTTTGTAGCTGTGCTAGGCCAGTACTGCCTCTGCTTGGGAAAAGGGTGGGGTTTCCCCACACTTCAGGGCCTCAGCACTGGGCTTTCTTGGCCTTGAGTTGGGACAGCTCAGGGATAGGCCATCCTAAGGGAGCGTGCTTCAGAGCTGAGCTAGGCCATCCTAAGGGAGCGTGCTTCAGAGCTGAGCTGTCACAGCCTCTCTACAGGGTCTGCTTGGAGCTGCAGTAACTCAGGCCTCACAGGGCCTCCAGGGATGTTCTGTCTCTGATTGGTACACTTAGGACACTAGGTGGCTCTGGCCTGGGCTATCTCAGGCCTTGGGAAGATGTTTCAAACTTGGCCAATTCAAGTCCTAGAACCCACTGTGATACTGAAGTCTCCACCCTGCAGGCCTTGCTGGTGTACAGCATCATCAAGTACCAACCCTCGGAGTATGGCAGCTACCGCTTCCCTGCCTGGGCAGAGCTGCTAGGCATCCTAATGGGCCTGCTGTCCTGCCTCATGATCCCCACTGGCATGCTGGTGGCTGTGCTTCGAGAAGAGGGCTCACTCTGGGAGGTGAGTCTGCCCTCTCTGTCCATTTCTGTCTTCTGGGCTTGGCCTTGCCCTGGGCCCCCACCCCTTACCCAGGGCTTTGTGGGCATCTTTAGCCTAAAGAGACCTGCTTCCATGAGGCAGATTCAGAGACCTATGGTCCTGCCTTTGGCACCTCCCAGCACATGGGGCCTATGGGGGGTAGACAAAGACCACTGGTGACAGGGACTGGCCTAAGGTCCCACCGATAACATGGATTCGGCCAAGATCGGGACTTGAACTCAAGTGACTGGGCCAGCACTTCCTGCTGGAACCCAGTCCAAGAGGTGGACTCGCCCCCTCCTGTGTCCAGGAGCCCTGCTGTGTCCCTTAGGGGACCTGGGACAGGATGATGGTGCATTCCTTCCCCAAGGCCAGCACTTTGTGGAGAAACCCAGAAAGCAGAGTACATGCTATTGGACACAGGGGTCAGCGGGCCTCAGAAGAGGGGAATAGAGACCTTTTGTGGGCCCTGGAATGTGATGTGTGACCACAGCAAGATCTGGCCCCTCTCTGTGCCCCAGGGCACTCTGCACAGGGCCCTTCAGCTCTGCTGCCTCCAGTGTGGAGTCCTCTGGTGGCCAGAGGCTGTCATTGTGAGTGGAGCTTGAGTGAGGCTGATGGGTCCGAGAGGAAGCTTGGGGACCCTCCCAGCACATGACCTGTTCGAGGGTGCTGGAGCCAGCCAGTCCTGGCTCTGAGAGCTACTTGTTACGTGTTCAGGAGTGCTGTGAGCCGGTGGTTAAACTGTCGGCAGTTTGGGATTGACAATGGTGGCAGCCGTCCTGCACTTCCGCCTTCCTGTGCTTGCCTATCGGCTCACTGCTGCCCCACCCTGGCCCTGTGGCCTTACCTCCTCTGCAGCCCTCCCATCACCTACGAGCCTCCAACCAGAGAGAGGCTCACACCCTGCCACCTTTAGCAGCAGAAGTGCGCGGTGACGACACCCCAGTTAGAGCTCTGCCTCTAACTGCTGTATGACTTTTGGCAAACCCTTTCTTTCTCTGAAGCCCAAGAGCGCCCCCCTCCACACCATGCTCCTAAAGGGCATAGAGAGGGGAGCTGTACAGGAGGCTCGGGTTCCAGGGAGGTGATGGTCCCTCAGCTTTAGTGACCAGCTGGTAGAAACACAGCGTTCCCAGCAGTCCTTGTGGGAGCTGCCCACAGACTTCAGTGGTGGAGGGGTACAGGGCAGTGAGCTGTGCAGAGGTGTCACTGGCTCAGGAACACCGCCTCCAGAGGCCAGGGTGTCTGGTACTGACTCGTCAGGATCAGACCCCATTTGCCAGTGGTGTGAATGACCCTAAGCACGTCCCTGCAACTCTCCGAATCTCGTTTTCTCCATCTTTAAAATGCGGACAGGGTTACCTACTTACAGGACTGTTGTGAGTAGCAAAGGAGCTTTTTGGCATTGTAGGGATAGAAATGCAAATATTTTAGAAGTTCAGGGTGGAATCAGGCTGCCTGGGTTGAAAGCCCAGGACTATCACTTCCCACTTGTATGACGTTGGCTATCTTAACTAACCAGCCTGAGCTTTAATTCTTAGACAAATCTATGGGGTGGAGAAGGAAAGTGATAACGCCCCTCTCATGGGGACACTGGGAAGATCCCATCTAGTGATCAGCACCACACAGAGCTGATGTTAGCAGGTGCCCAGGTCTAGACCAGGCTTCCCACACAGGTGATTCTGCATTTGGCAATGTCTGGAGACACTGTTGGTTATCACAAGAGAGGGTAGGGGGACAGGGTGGTGCTACTGTTATCTGCCAGACAGAGGCCAGGACTGCAGATGTCCTTCCAGACATATTGCAGCCCCACAATGAAATTTTCCAGAACAGAGGCCTGAGAAACCTGGGCCTGGGCACCCAGCTCAGTTGGGAACACATCTAAACCCTTGCTCTTGGGGAACTTGTATTTTAATGTGGGAGACAAGAAACAAGCAAATGCCTAAAGACAGTGGTAAGTGCTATACTTTTTTTTTTACAAAAACACACAAAAATGCAAACAGGAGGAATAAAAAGTGACGGAGGACGGTCTTTTGTCCAGGACTCTCAGAGAGAGCTGGCAAGATAGGCACCGTGATCCAGATGGATCAGGGGGAAGAGTTCTGGGAAGATGGGCAACGAAGGCAGGGCAGGCCGGGCCGGCAGATTTGAAAGCAGCAAAAAGAATGGTGTCCCTGGAGCAGCGGGAGTGGAGGGAGAGAAGCGGGTGCTGTGGTCATGCGGTAGGGCGGCAGGACATGGGCGGTCATGGTGAGCGCCCCGACTCAGGCCCGGGAAAAGGAGCCATTGGCAGGCTTCTGAGCAGTGGGGTTACGTACGTTCTCTGGATACGTGAGCATTCCCAGGAGCTGTGAGTGCCAGGTGTGCTAGGCCAGAGGCCAGGGGCGTTCCACGCATGATGTCCTGGGGACTTGGGCCCAGTGGGCTCCCTTACTGAGAGGCGCCTCCATCTCCAAGAGTGTGGGGCAGTTTTCCCTGGCAGGGCAGGCAGAGGACCTTGGGACTGAGGTCAGGAAGAAGAAACCCTAGAATGTCCCAGCTGAGTCATCACTGTAGTCAGCTCCCTCCCTCCATGGAAACGGACTCAAGCGGGCAAGGTCAGCGTCAGGGGTAGAAGGGCCCAGGAGGGCCAGCCACAGTCCTGCCTTAGAGCTCCCGGCTCCTTCCTAAAATCCCCAGTGCCTCTGCACTCGGCATTTGGGGGAAGGGACTGACCCAGAGTGGGCTCTTGGCTTCACCTGCAGATGCTGGGGGGGGGCGCTGCCTCTTACTCACAATGGCACCGTTTACCAGGCTCCGCCCTGCTCCTGGTCCCCTGCCAAGGGCATAGTCCCAGTGCCCCTATAGTGGCCTTGTGAAGACTCACCACACCCAGGTTACAGACCATACCCGAAGGCCACCCAGCTTGTGAGTGGGGAGGTACTCTCCACTCACGGTGTCCTGAGGTTGTCTCGAGGACTCAGCCAGTGACGCAGGTCTTTGCTCAGTGCCTGGCCACAGGCTGCACTCAGCCACTGCTGACTGTTTCACCCGTGTCGTTGCCCTGCCACAGAGGCTCCAGCAGGCCAGCCGGCCGGCCATGGACTGGGGCCCGTCGCTGGAGGAGAACCGGACAGGCATGTACGTGGCCACACTGGCCGGGAGCCAGTCGCCAAAGCCGCTGATGGTGCACATGCGCAAGTACGGGGGCATCACCAGCTTCGAGAACACGGCCATCGAGGTGGACCGTGAGATCGCAGAGGAAGAGGAGTCCATGATGTGAGGCCAGAGGCGGGTGGACAGCAGTCCCTCTAGCTGGGGCGTCAACCTGCGGGGTACAGCTGCACTGCTGGGATTCTGAGAGGCCAGGAGAGGTTGCCTTGGTGATGCTGGCCCCCTAGCACAAATTTCACCTGTGATCTGTGCCTGTCCTGAAGCCTCTACCTGGCCCTGCACCCCCCCACACACACACAGTGAGGCCCTCACTCTACTATAGAAAGGCATAATAAGGCCTGGGAGGGAGGGACTGGCCCCCAAGGTCACAGGGCAGAGACGATGTGGCCCCGGGCCTCTGGACCAGTCAGCATCTGTTCCCCACATTGTCACCTCTGCTCAGGGCCCAGACCCTGAGCTCTGCTTGAGAAGCTGTGCTCACAGTGTCCTCTTGCACACACCCTGAACTTCCGGGCAGCAAGAGGCCCTGGATGGAGAGGGCTCAGTAAATGAAGTGGGAAGAAAGATCCCTGTGGGTTGCCAAGTGCAGGCCACGCTTCCCAAAAGTGGGAGCTGAGGGCCCTGGAGGAAGGGAATTTTTTAAGAGAAATAAAGGGGAGGCACCTCGGCTAGAGCTGCTCCACTGGGCCAGGGGGAGGCCAGCCTGCCCATGTGGAGACCTGTGTGGTTGGCAGTGATGGTGCCAGTGTTCAACAGCATTCTGGCGCCAGTGAAGACTAGCAGGGCCGGGAGCTAGGGACGGTGGGTGGGAGGGAATTGCATGATACCTGGCAGCACTGTGGGTCTCTGCAGGGTGCACTGGAGGGCAGGGTACACCTGGGGAGGCCTGTGGGGGTAGGCTTGAGACCTGAGTTAGGGCACTAGGGTGAGGACAGGGAAAGACAGAAGGGTGCAGGCCTTTGAAGAAGAGCCATACCTTCCCCTGGCCCCGGTTCCCTGGAGTGGCAGGGAGGCCTGAGAGTCACGAGCTGTACAGTGGGATGAGAGGTTATGGTCAGGACCCAGGGCTGCTCTCTCCCCTCGCCTTCACCCCAGAGGCCCTTTCCATCTCCCCCATCTCTAGGTGTTCCTGGGACATTCATTGTCCTTGGCTGTGGGTGACAGGAGAAGCCGTAAGACCCAGAGAGCAGGGCCCAGCATGAGGGCACAGATGAGAGCAGGGGGTGGTCTTGAGTACCTCGGGTCCCCACCTGGGTGCAAGCCCAAGTGGTTTCTTGTGCACAGCCCTCTCCATTGGGGCAGAGCACCTTGGCACTGCTGCAGTAGCCGCTATACCCTGTCTCCTGGCATTGCCCCAGCCCATCTGTGATCCTTCGGTTGATTGTTAATAAACACGAGCTTTGTTGATTCTCCTCACCCTGTCTCCTGATCCCCAAGAGAATGCGCTGGGCAGCCCAGCCTTTCCAGTCCTACAGGACAGATGAAGAGGCTGAGGCTCAGCTGCCACCTTTTCCTGGCTCTCCTGGGTTCTGTGTCTGACTGCCCTTTTCTAGGGCTGTTGGGAGGCGTTGCAGATGGGAGATGAATCCTGGGCCCTCAGAGACTACTGAGTTCCCTCATTACACCTGCACACAAACTGAAATCCATGGGCCGGGGAAGCCACCTGCAGGGCAGCAGGTCCGGACTGTCCAGTGTTCACCCTTTTGTCCTCCATGCAGCAGCTCCCTTTCAGCCTTTCTGGCAGGTGAGGGATTGGGAGGAGCCATGGCCTCTCTCCTAGCAGGGCCTGGCCGTATGAAAGAGCCCCAAGGCTGTCAAATGCAAGGCTCAGGTGTTGGCAAGGCTTCGAGTGCAATGCAAAGGATGAGCTGAGTGTTTGGGTATTAATGTATCTCCCCCAACGTAGGGCCAGGCCCCTCCCACCCTTGTTGCTCCCAGTGGGAAAAAGGACTAATTTACAGAGGATGCAGGAATAGTCTTCACAAGTTGGGGTGTTTCCCACACCCAGGGGCAGCTTGGCCTTGCTAAGTGGAACCTGACACTGGGTCCCCAGTACCTGGCTTCTCTGTCTGCCAGAAGCCATGGTGAGCACTTCTCAGCCTGCCCTCCCTGCAGCCAGGTTCCTGGGATTTGGAGTAGAGGGTCCTAGAGCCCAGTGCTCTCTTCTCCCCAGATTCCATGCGTGAGGTGGGTGGTTCCAGGCTGTGGGACCCACAACTCCATGCCCTCCATCCCATCTGCCTTGTCCCTGCTTCCTTCTGCCGCCTGCCTCCCCTCCCCGCCCTCACCTGGGCAGCTGCTGGGCTGTGATTCTTACGCTGCCCTCCCTGGCCCTGTCAGTCTGTCCTGTTTTTCCATTTCCATTTCCAATGATTGCTCTCAGGCAGCCTTTTCTGCTTCACCAACATTCTCCTCCCTGTGCCATCTCCGACCCCCTCCCTGACTCTATATGGATTCCAGGTCTCTCTGACACACAGCAGACCCCAGCCAGGCCTGACTACCAGGACCTGACTACCATGACCGCACAGCAGGCAACTCAGGCCTGTCCCCACAGGGCCCCAGCCTGGGATCCATCCCGGAACATCCTCGAAGGCAGCCTGTGTGAGCAAAGCTGTCAGCTGAGCTGGAGAATGACTGGCCTCACCTTGGTCAGTGTTGGAGACACTGGAGGGAGAACTGTGGGGCCCGGAGAAGAAAGCTTGCCTAGCCGGAGAGGGAGGCCACCTCTCAGAAGCCTGGATGCTGGTCGCCAGATCTCCTGGCTTTTTAGGAGTAGTTGGAAGTCTGGATTGTTGTGAGAAATTTCCCAGTTTGAAATTTTGGCACTGCTTCAAAGTTGTAAACCAGGCGGGTCTCCTGTCCTCTGTGCAGATGGGGGGAGCAGCCCAGAGGGCTCCCATGACGTGAGGGGACAGTGGGTTAGAGCGCAGGGCCCCCGCCTCGCCGCCTCGGCTGGGTTCTGCTGCTCATCTCAGCTGATCTCTGTGCTCATGGGCCCCTGAGCTTGGGAGGCTGCTGGGGAGTCCTGAGGGGCCACACCAGAGGTGGGTGGCATGGTCCCTGCATCCCTGTGGAGGACTTGTCAGAGAGGGTCTTCCTCTGGGGGTCAGGAGATGCTAAGATGTGGAAGCCATCTGCCTTGGCTTCCAGCTACGATCTCAGACAGCAAACGTGGAGAGAGCAGGGGGAGTGAGGAGGGGTCCTCCCCAAAACACCAGGGGCAGCCTCTTCCCAAGGTCAAGCAAGGGTCAACAGGCACCGGGCTCACTGGTTATCTTGCGTGTGGTGCTTGTAGGCCACATCCTCTGCATCCCCTTTCGCACTGCCTGAGCTGGCCCAGGGGTCCCGCCTCCCTCCCTTCACTTGGGCAATGCCTCCCACCCTGATCCCACCTCTTGTCTTCACCTACTGGGACCCCATGGCCAGCCTTTAAGTGCTCCTACGTTCACCATCCACAAGCCTTCTGAAGTTCCAGCCTGATGTGGACTCCTAGAATCTTTCCTGGGTCTGACTCAGCCCTGTGTCTGGTGAGTCCTGACAGCTTGGCCCTGCCCAGGGCATGCACGTCCTCCTGGGAAAAATGCATCCTGTTTCTGTGTGGTTAAAGCTCTTAATCACACTCCTTGGGCCCCAGAGCACTTCGGAGTAGCAGCCAGGCCCTGTGCAGACCCTGCACACTCCCACCCCACCCTGCCCTTCCTAGCTGTGCCCCTCCTGAGCTGGGTGATTGTGGGGAAGTCACTGCACCTCTTCAAACTCAGTTTGTTTGTAAAATGTGGGCAGTGATAACTCCTCCTGCAATAGCCTCTTGTGGGTCTGGGTTAAGCTGTGGGGTGCCCAGCACAGGCCTAGAGCTTGGTGGCACAGTATGCAATATCGGTTGACTGAGAGAAGCCATTTATGTCTGTGGTCTCTGCCCCACCACCTACTTCTCCAGGACCGAGACTGGACCTCCTTCCAACCACTGCTTTGCAAATGGAGAGTCAAAGTGAGCCCTGTTCTCTGGTGGCTCTCGAGACAACCAGCAAAGAGTTAAGAGTCACAGCATCAGGACTCTGAGCCCCCCGTGACCTTGGTTGCACAGCCTTGGGTCTGCGGCAGCCGCTGTCCTCCACACTCATTTTTTGCTGGTGGCTCATGGAAAGTTTTGCTCCCTGAGCTCCAGGCCACTCCCTCTGGGTCCTGAGGCCTCGTTGACACTGGTCCTGGCCTGGAAGGGCATCCAGGGCTGCCTGCCTGCCCACGAATCCTTGGCCAGCAGCCTCTCTGCTCTGTCTCCGCCTGACTTCCGGCAGCCCTCGCCTTCTCCCCGGCACAGAGCATTGGCCCACCTACTCTGGCCAACAGGGCCTCTTCTCAGCAACCCTGTCCAGTAAGACTTTCTGTTTGGGGGAAGGAAGCCTTTTCCTGATAATTTCCACAGCATCTGTGAGCTGCAACCCCGAGAGAATTGTCTCAAGAAAGGCCAAGACAGATTTGGGCATCCGTTGATCAGAGTCAGATCCCAGCTCTGTGACCCCGCTGATGGGAAGAATAGATTTCTCCTTGCAGAGGATTAAATGAGATAGTGTTAGATGCTCACCATTTATGTCCAAGGAATGATCAAAGTGCCTAATGCAAAACAGAGTGTAGAAGCCCTCTAAGTAGGATGACTCTTGTAGAGCTGGCCCTTGTCCAGGTGAAAATAGTGAGTCTTAGCTCCTACATCCAACCAATCCAGGAAAAAGGAGCCTGCTTAGAGCCAGGCATGGGCAGAAGGAGGCCGCCAGCCCTGTGGCGACACCCCTTGCAGGCTGGGCCTCAGTGTCCCCAACTGTAAAATGAAGGAGTTGAACAGAAACCATGGGTTCCATCCACCAAAGCCCTTGGGAGGTGCTTGAGAGGAGGGTGAGGCAGAACACTTTCCCTCCACCTACCCTTCAGGCCAGGCCTAGGGACCACGCCGTGACTCCCAGGAAGGAAGCAGTGCCCTTCCTCAGAGTTGGATTTGGGGTCGGCCCCCAAAGGAAGTTCACACCCTGCAGAGTGCGCCTATCTGGCTTCTCGGGTGAGCCAAGAGTCCCGCTGCCAAAGCATAGCAGTGGGGGGCTGGGTGTGAGCGGGCAAGGCAAGAGCATGGCCTGAGCCCAGGCCTCTCTTTGACCTTGACTCTGCTGGCCAGGGTCTTAGGGAGCTCCTGGGATGGGGTGGCAGGAATGCGAGGCAGGGCAGAGGCCCACGGTCAATATTGATCTAGCTGAGTCAGGAGGAGGAGGAGGAAGTGGGAATCCTGGGGTGGAGCTTCCCGAAAGAGCTGCATCTCCCGGTGTGTCTGTGGGAACTGGAGGCAGTTGAAGGCAGAGTTCCCTAGCTTGGCGCTAAAACTAGAGCTGCCTGGACCTCCGCTCGGCAAGGCCCGAACATCTTTATTTCCAGCAAATTCCCTGGCTGAATATATAGCAGCCAGTCCTGTCCCCAAAGCTGAAGACCACAGGCTCAGGGTCACTGTTACAAGGAGGAAACTGAGACCCAGAGAGGGGATGTCACTCACCCAAGGTCACACTGGGAAAGCATGGTGATAAACACCCCTTTTTCTTCAAGGGGAAAGTGATGATCCACCTCTAGCTTCATCCACCTGGGCCTGGGAAGGGATGGATGGCTGGGCGGGTCACCCTCAGGGAAGTGGTTTTTGAGAACTTGGCAGGCCTGGTGGAAAAGGGAGGGTGGGGCTGGGCCTAGGAGGAAGGACAAGAAGAGGGGCCATTCCAATGGACCAGACCTGCTCCACCTTGCCCTGTGCAAACACTCCCAGCACCTGCTGGAGGGTGCTTCCTAAAGGCCAATTACAGCCCAGGCCTGGGTGGGCCAGCTCTGCTGCTGGGCACCACCTGTGTCCTGAAAGGCAAAACCACGTCGCAGTGGACTCAACACTGCTGGCCCCACAGCATCCTCTGAAGCCTGTCCCACACCTCACCCACCCGGTTTACACTGCTTGGGTCCACTTCTCCATTACCCTGGCAACGCAGCTGCGCTGGGTGACTCCGTGTGAGACCTGCAGGGCCTGCTGCCTAACGGAGGGTGACAGGAAGGGGAATTTCTCAGAGCACCAGTCACGATTTCCCGGCATCCAGAGGCAGAAAAACACAGTCCAGAGCAAGGGAGGTCCCTGGAGGGAACAAGAGCCCTGCACTTCCAAAAGGAGGTCGAGTGAGTCCTGGCTTAGGGTCTTTGAAGAAGCCTCTTTGCCTCTGAGTCCCACTGTCTTCATCTTTGAAATAGGGCTGTCTTAATTAGGACAAGAGCATGCTGTGAGGTATAGAGCATCGTGCTCCAGATAAGAACAATGTTTGAAGTCAAGTTGCTACTTGCTGAGAGTTAAAGGATACTTATTTCTTCAGGTCTACCGGGCCCTCCAGAGCTTGGTAGACGCAGAGGCCAAGGATGACCTGTAAGCCACCCCTGTGCTGCCACCTACTGACAGTTTCCTATAATGGCAGCCCACACCTTTAAACCCTTCAGCACTGCCTATCGAGGCCAGAAAGCTTGGCTGTACAGGAAGAGTTAGGAGTCAATCCTCCATGCTCATTTTGTAGGCACCTGGGCAAGGTGAAAACAGAAGTCTCCAGCTCCCTCTTGTTCTTCTCAGCCTTGGCCTGTGCTCTCACTGTGAAAGTCTTTATGTGTGTACAAGAAGCACCTCCCCTACACCAGCTGCAAGGACAGATTGGGAAAGCAGCTGGTACAGAGGCTCTGGAGCTCTGGACACCCAGAGTATGGCCTGGAGGGATCTGTGGCCTCCTGAGGGCACAGCCCCTTGGTCCTGTGGGATCCAGGCCTGGGGTCAGGTGGATTAAGGTGATAAACATCTAATCTGGTTGGGACAGTCCTGGTCTTAGCCCTAGAAATTATGCATCAGCAGATGGGTGTTTGGCAACTCTTGTGGGCCAAAGAGAGCCAAGGCCTCTACATCTCCACCCCGGGTCAGAGAACCCAGCCGCTCTGCAGCCCCTGGGGCCTCCCACAGCTATCCAGCTCTCCGGTCCCAAGGCCCTGTCTAGGCATTTGGCTCACAATATATTTGTGGGTACAGAGAACTGCCTTACCCTTACCCCCTTCTCCAAACCTCCCTGGGGGCTCAGCCTTGCCTGGAAGCCCCCCCAGTTTAGCTCTTGTCTCTTTTTGGCAGAGCCTGTTTATACCCTTGCCATTGTTAAAGTGCCTGAGAAAAAGCTGACTCCATCGCTGGCTCTGAGAATGGAGTTTACGGTCAAGGCCTAATCCCATAGTGATTGGCTCAGTCCTGAGCAACTGACCCAAGTGCATCCAATCAGCATGAAGACCAGGACTCTCATTTTGCAACAGAGGAGATCTAGATCGGTAAGGGAACATCTCCTAGTGTGCTGTGTTTGGCCAAGACAGCAAGAGACGGGAAGTGCACAGAAGTTTGTAGCTATTTATTGCACTGAAAACACCAAGAATAAAACAGACACCCCATCTTCCCTCCCGCCCCCAATAGCAGAAATTTTGAGCAGTGGTCATTCAAGTTCACAGCCACATTTTTTTTAAAAAAAGAAAGAACCGAAACAAAACCCCAAACAAATAATAACAAAGAAACCAGCATGGGGAGCCTGGCAAACACATCCCCCAAAGGGTTTCCCTTTGAAGGGAGACAGGAGGCCCTGTCAGGATTGGTGTTGTGGTGGTGCAAACTAGTAGAGCACTTTCCTGTAAACGGAGTTGCGTGCTGGAGCCTGGGTTCTGACTTGGGTCTGGATTTTTTGCATCTAAAGGGTGTTTTCAAGGAGCACAGAGCTTGTCTGGTGAGCGGGCTCTGGGCAGCTTTGTCTGCCAGTTTCCTCTGCCTGTCGCCTAAAAGTCACCATGGTGCCCTGGGGTCCACACCACCTGGTTGCCTACCCACAGGAGTGGCCTTGGCAGTGGGGGCCACCTTAGCCTGGGCTAGGGACCTGCCTCCAATTCTCTAGCACACGGAGAGGCACACAGTGGACAAGAGGTGCGTCGGCCGGTGAAGGTACGCTGGGGTCCTTCAGCTCAGTTTCCTCTGATGAAGAAACCAAGGTCCAGAGAGGGGAAGGACTCGCCCAGGGTCACACAGCAAGTCTAGTCAGAGATGGGAACTGAAGCCTATGAACCCTGCGACCACTTCTCTTTCCCCTGCAGTCCGCGGCTGATGAGCAGCAGACAGGCACCAGAGAGGGGAAGGAGGGGCCTGCAGGGGTGAGGGTAGTGACTGGCCAAGCCCACAGGCAAGCCGGCGGCCAGCCAATGACAAACCCTGTAAATTCTCCAGGTGTACCGGCTTTCCTGTCACCATCCATTTGATCCTCCATCAGCCTAGGCAGGAACACTTAACCCATCCTTAACTGATGGGGAAACTGAGGCTGAAGAAGAGACCAGACCTTGCTGGGGAATTATAGCATCCCCCGGTGAAGGCGGTACCCTCACCTTTGGCTGGGGATAGCCATGGGGAACTGGCAGGTCATAGAGGGACAGGTGGCTTTTCTGCTGGAATAATGGGATCACAGCCTCACTGAGGAGCCCTCTGGGCCAGGGTTAGGCCGAGAGCCCACCCTCGGGCCTGGGAAGGAGGGTCTCTGCCGAGGACAGAGGGCCAGTGATGGGCCAGCTTAGAAACCAGAGGCCTGCAGCCTGGCCGGTCTCACCTGTCCCTGGGCAGCAGGACTTGAGAAAAGAGCCCAAGGAATAGCTCATGGTGGGGGAAACTCAGAAAGTTCTGGATTAAACATTCCCACCAGTTCTGCTCCAACAGTACCCAGGAGGGTCAGGGGAAACAGAGCTTCCTCCAAACCCTGGGGATGTGGTTCTTTCTCCCCTAAAATCCTCCAGAGGGGACAGTATCTCATGCTGGCAAAACACGGCCACACAGAGGCCAAAAGCACAAAGAGGCAGCGACATAATTCCAAGTCGGACACTGAGAATATAACCTCTATTATTACTAATTTTTTTTGTCCAAAACATGTAGATTGATTTGTTGAGTGTTTTTCATCTTTTCTTGTTTTTCAACATACTTACTGCATATAAAGTCATGCAAAGAGAACAGTGCAGACAGGAGATCCTTGCGGATGGGCCAAGGCATTCCATATCAGGGCCAACCCCAGGGGCAGAGGACAAGAGAGCGATGGAGAGAGAGGCTGCGGACCTGAGGCTCAGGGTGAGGTGTGAAGAGGAGAAACTCCCAGCGCTCGCTTTGGCCATCGGATACCAAAGGGGAGAGAGGTAATGGAGACACATGCTCGTGGGCCACCCCAGAGGTGGGTGGGGGGCACTGAGGGTGACACAGACATCGAGGAATGAACCCTGGGAAGTGCAGTAGCAGGACCCCAGTTGGAGAGAGAGGCAAAGCAAAGCCCAGACGTCTCCGTCCTGACCACCTCTCTTCCTCACCTGCCTTGCCGCTTCTAAGTCACACCACCACCTTAGTCCTAGAAGGATGCCCTGCGTCAGCTCACCTTGGGACTAAAACAGCAGAGAGGCCATGCTTCCTGGGGCCCCAGCTAACCACTGGCATGATGAGGTCCACCTCAGAAATGACAAAAAAAAAAAATGTAGAACAGAGTAAAAACTACCCCTCGTTCCTCTTTTGATCTCTCTTCCCAACCCAACCCTCCTGGCAATAGTTTGAGAGGTCTGGTAATTACATAAATATCCATTAACGTGAACCCATTTACGAAATACACAGAAGTTTGGCTATAAAAAGGCATGCGGTCCAAGTAGAAGAGATACCTAAATGTTGCTTTCTTTCACCCCTGAAACACGATCAGATTCCTTCTCGGACTGGATGAGGCTGGGACTCTCCAGGGATGACGCATGGGAAGGTGGGTGAGTGGGGGCTGCAGCCGGGAAAACCCAGGGTGTCGAGCTCCTCACACTGCAGCGGGCAGCGGGCAGTGGGCAGCGGGCAGTGGGCAGGGAGGCTCAGCAGACCACCACAAGGCCTGAGCGGGAGCGGGGAGAATCAGGGCAACGGTTCAAGGCAAGAGGCTCCTGGCATCTGCCCTCTCTCATCCTCTCCCACAGGGAGGTTAGCTTGGGAGGGTTCTGGGGGGATTCATTGGCCCTCTCCCAGGGACCCCCAGAAAAGGTGAGATCCAGGAGAGGGTGGGCCATCTGTGCCATGCAGCCCTCCTTCTCCTACCCCTGGCAAACCCACAGCTGGGGTGGTCTAGCCTTATGCCAAGGCCCCACCAGGCCCACAACAGCTGGGTGGAGATTGGGAGTCCCCGGGCCAGCACCCTGGGCACCCAAGCCTGAAAGTTCCCTCCCCCACAGGGAGAGAGCGGTGAGAGGTGAGTAGGGAGGCCGGGCTGCTGGCTGTGAAGTTGGGATGGCTTTTGTGAGCAGGCAGGTTTCCTTGATGCAGGTGCAGAGGCGACAGCGGCAGTGTCGGGATGACGGGGTAGAGAGAATTCCAGCACAATCCAGTGGGAGAACCAGCAGCACATTCCACGTACAGAGAGTGGGTCCCTGTGACACAGCAGCCCAGCGACCCCGGCCTGGTCCTTCAACTGTAAGACAGTGGACACGGGGGGCGCTCGAAGGGTGGCCCACCCACTGCCCTCCGCGATGGGGTCCCCAACTGGCCCTCCGCAGCCTGCCTGCTCCAGAAGGCAACAGCCAGCTTGGAGGATGAGCCCCTGCAGGCTCACACTTCCCGTTCCTTCAGATCACCCCAGAGGGGCGGGAAGAAAGGATTCTTACTGGGGCAGGACGGAGGGGGCCCCGGATCTGTGGAAGTGGACGATCTGCCATTTGCCATCCCGGCGGTGCCAGACGCGGGTCTCCTCTGACTGGGCAGTGCGGGGGATGCCGCCGGCGTCCAGGTACTGCGTGATGCGGATATAAGCGATGCAGGCCGACTCGTCGCCCATCAGGTGGATGTGGGGGTTCAGGATGGTGGTGTGCACGGGCTTGCTGTTCCGGGACCACACTGGAGTGGGGTGGGAGGGGCAGAGGAGATGCACCTGGGGCTCCGCCTCCCTGCCTTCGCTCTCAATGCCCAGCAGCCCTCTCTCTCAGAGGAGCCCCTCTGACTGCCTCGTTCACAGAAGGGAATCTCCGGGGCAGGGCCCGGCCACCAGGGAGTCAAGGCAGAGCTTCTGAGTCACAGAGGTGTCACATCCCAGCTTAGACACAGTGGGTTCCAGACATGCTGAACCCTTCAGACACCGCAGGGGTTAGAATCAGTCTCCTGGGCACAGAAGAACAGGGCCAAGACGATCACAGAACCAGAAAGGCTCGATCTCTCTCAGACCCAGATCCCCACAGGGGCCAGGCAGCACATGAACCAGGAAGCTGATCTGGGCATAAATGCTGAACGACAGACAGCTGAGCCTCTCCCTCTGGGTCTGGCAGTCTGTGCGGACAGGAGCCCTTGTCCTCTCTAAAGAGGCGGCCCCTGAATAAGTGGCCATACCCGGTTTCTCAAGAGAATCTAGAAATCTGGGTTTCTGTATGAAAATCTATTTTAAATTAGAATTCAGACCTGCAGACCACATGAAATATCTGCAATCCAGACATGGCCCCTGCGCCCCCTACAGGTCAACTCCTGCGTGTATTGTCATGGAGACGTGGGGACGATTGGAACCGCAGAATCTTAAACCTTGGAATTTTTAGGATTACCCTGAAATCAAGGGTGAAGTCACGGAGCTTCCCAGATTTAGGAGAAGATGATAGTTCTTAGATCAGGACAGGACCGGTAAAAGTACTGAAACTCACTCCTGCTGCGGGGAAGAGAGTTACCACCATCGTTGTTGTAGTGGCTCGAGAAACTCACTTTTTTTTCATTAAGATAAAAAACAAAAGCACTAGGAGATAATGACCCAAGGGTAGGTTGGACAGCACATTTTTGCAGTACTGGGGATCGAAACCCAGGGCCTTGTACGTGCTAGGCAAGCACTATATCATTGAGCTATACACCAGCCTGTTTTAAGGATTTTTTTAAAAATTTTGATACACAGTCTTGCTAAGTCCCTCGGGCTGGCCTCAAACTTGTGTTCCTCCTGCCTCAGTCTCCTGAGAAACTTGGATCATGCCATGACCAGCTGGGTTCTTACCCTTAAGAAAAATCTTTGTGCCTTCCCATAGAGTGACCTAACTGTGAGTTTTAATTACTGGGCAGCTGAGTTAAAATATACATTCCTAGTTCAAGAAAATGTAATGTAAATGTCTCTTCTCCGACCCCACCCTCTGACTCTGATGCTTAGCCAAATTCATGAGTCATTTATTTCCTGAAAAAATATAAAGGGTCTTGTCCTTTGTTTTGTTTTCTGAGCTGCAAAAAAACAATCTAGTAGCATTTATTCCCTGATATTCTCATCACACTCTATCTAACCTTTAAATAAATATCAAAATCATAAGTCTTAAACAGATAGAACAATAAACTTGGAATTCTGGACTGTTCAACATACAGAATGTAAGCATTAGTGTCATAGGCTAAGGAGCACCTCAGAGGTCAAAGCTCACCCATTGGCCCTCCCACAAAATGTGAGGAGGCCTCTGTAAACTTCCTGATAGCGTACAGGGCTGCAGGCCCAAAGGCCATCTGTTTCAATGCATCCATTTAACATTTATGGGTACTGAGAGCCAGAGTCACCAGGCTGGGCCACCTCCTGAAAGAAACACAGTCGAAACTAAAAGAAGTCAGGCTTCCATTGGAGCTGGCCTCGGAAATCTAGAACAATTCCACAAGGGACAAACAGCTCAGCATTGCTGGGTAGATGGGCTTTGCTGTTTTTTGGTAAGGGTTGGGGTTCCCAGGAGCACCACCCCAAACGTGGTGTCTCTTGAGCAGATTAGAGGCTTTGAGGATGCATCCCAGAGGATAGGGTGGGAACAGGAACAGGTCCTAAATGGAGCAGCTAGGGTGGGATTCAGCCAGGAGGCACACACCTAGGGACTCTGGGTCTGGCTCCTGTGGGTTCTGCCTTGGAGGTGACCAGAGAGCGGGCTAGATGCCTACAGCCTGGCGACGGGTCCTAAGATGAGACCCACTGCCGGAGTCAGGCCAGGGGCGGCTGCACTGGCTCCTCTCTGTGTGGGTCCTTTTGGTCATCCCCGTGCTGGTAGAGTGGAGCCTCTGCTTGGTCTCTGCTTTCCTTCTGGGGTCTGGAGAGTCTTCTCAGGGAAACCAGCACGCCCAGAGGACAGAGGTACAAAGGTAGTGGTGTGATCGGCAGGGAGCTTCCCAGGTGATAGGGACCCACGGAGACAGCCCGCTCTTTGTATGAGAGCTCAGTCTCCATTGCTAACCTTGGAGAACCAAAGTTTAATTCATTTTTTTAAAAAAGTGAGAGCGGCTGGGGATTTAGTTCAGTGGTTTTGCTGCCTGCCTCATAAGTGCAAGGTCTGGAGTTCGATCCCCAGTACCAAAAAAAAGTTGGAGCATCTTTTTTCACAGCTTTTGGGGAGGAGGAACTGCCAGTGTATTCTATAAAAATTCAGGCGGAGGGTGTAGCCCAGGGGAGGGGCGTCAGCTCAGGGTGCTAGTGTGTGGATGGAGCAGGCAGCACCGAGAAGGGGACAGCTCGGGAGAGATCCAGGGCCAGGTTCTGTCGCTGACCTCCAGGATTCCTTTGGACAAGTCACTTCCCTCTCTGGGCCTCAGTTTCTTCTTCTGAATGACAAAGATTATTCAACACCAAAGTACCACCCTTGTTCTAATCACCATATATAAGTGCCACGTGTGCTTATTCCATGAAAATATTTTAAATTGCATGTTTTTTTTAAAAGACTTCGTAGAATAACGGTTAGTAATTAGTATCACAGAATAAAATTTTAATAAGTCCAGTGAAAGCAAAATAAAGCTATATAATCCTTGCCCCATGCTCTTGTCTGCAAGGCATCTTGGGCCATGCTTGTTCCGTTTGTCTGTGTGTCTGTCTGTCTGTCTGTGTGTCTGTCTGTTTACTGGAACTGGGATTGAGCCCAGGGCCTTTGCAGTAAGCTGCATCCCCAGCTTGTTTTGTTTTGTCTTAGACAATGTGTCCTCAAGTCACTAACATGCTGGACTGAGCTGAGCATGTGCACCTCATGGCTGTGCCTTGCAGACTGCTTTGGATAAAGGCGTGTGCGCCACCATACCCAGCTCTGCTTGCTCTTTGATAAAGAGGGAAATTGGGAACTACCAGAGAGACACGCTGAAGACAAGCTAGCACCTGACTGAGCCGTTCCCTTTGGTGAAGCCAGAGTATTAAAAGAGAATGGGAATCAAACAGCTTTCTCACCATGCAAACTAGGATTATAAATAGTGTCTGTAAAATCTGAAATCACTTTTTGGAGCCCCGCCCAGTGGAGGTGCCCTTCACTTTGGGAGAACCCAGACACACTACCTCTCAGGCCGGTCCTGACCTGAATGATTCAAACCTGTGTGCCCTTTGTTTGGTCCCTGTCTGACCCCCGGCCTAGGTGAGACACAGACCCAGGCAGAAATCACCCTAGTCAGGCCTAGCCTCAGCCCACCAACAAAGCGTCATTGCAAAGCTGCAGAGGTCTCTCCTGCAAAGGAGAGGTCAGGAAGAACAGACACGCAGGACAGAGACCTAGACAAACAAGTGGGGCACAGCAGTGTGAGCTCGCTGCCCTTCCCTTCCCCAAACTCCCACTGGCAGGGGATCACATACAGCACAACCCAGAAGCCAGCTTGTGACCCACTGGCCAGCGGGGGTAGCCGAGGCCCCTAAACCACTTGGGGTGTGAACCAGCAGGAAGGCTCCTTTTTCCAAAAAGTGAGGAAATCCTCCAGGGTCCCATGTACCGCTGGTCTCTGGGGCACCCCACCCCTACCCCATCCTCAGTCACAGGAGGGACAGCTGGTTATCAATGAGCCAGGGTCAGGACAGAACCACAAGGCTACCAACTCCTGTGGACACAGGATCTTCCTCTTCCCTGGCTCCCAAGCTGCCCCAGGGCCCTGCCCATCACCCTGCTGTGCCATCCAGCAGGACATGGAACCCAGAGCAGACAACAGGCACCCCAGGGAGAAGGGATTGCTCACGGTTTTCAAAATAGAATCGATGGAAGTCCAGGCCCTCGACCAGGTTCCCCAGGGCCTCGGGCTCGAAGGCTGTCATCCCAGGGTCGCACATCTTCCTAGGGGGAAGGAAGTCAGAGGAGAGGGGCTGGGGCAGCTTCTCATGGTGCCCCTGGAGGGCGAGCCATGAAGTGGGAATGGTTGCTCCCACCTCACAGTGTCAAGAAGGCAGATGGATGGACTGGGCTCACAAACTTTCAAGCTGAGGGGTGAGGGGCATCACTGGCTGATTGGCACCATCCAGATCCAGGAAGCCTAGGTCCAGGTCTTGCCACTTGGTGGTTATGTGACCCCAAGCAAGCGGTTTAACATCTTAAAGCAAGAACACCACCAGTGGGCATTGACAGAAAGTGCAGCAAGATGAGACTCAGCTGCTCTCCGCTTGCCACCTTGCTTCCTGGCTCTGGGCAGTGGATCCCAAGGACTTTTCCTAATTTGTCTTCCTGGGATGGGAGGAAGGTGCTGTTCCTTCCCGTAAAAGTGACCTCTGCTCACCCAAGCCAGGTATGTACACGGAAGGGGTTTGTTTTACTAATTTGAGCCCTGACTGTGAGCCTCAGTTTCCTCTTTAGTAAGATAAGGAAAGGAGCATTAAAGTGGGGGCTACCTGGGAGGGGAATGAGCACACGGCTTGACCAAGGAGACCCCCAGCCCAGGAACATGGGTGCTTTCAGTGGGTTTCTCTCTGCCAGGTCTCAGCCTTCCAGAGGCACTGACAGCCATGCAAGCAAAGGGAGTAAATCATCTCCCCATTCCCAGATTTATAGGACCAATGGCGGCACAGGATGAGCCACCATGGCAATAGCAATGAAGCCAGCACAGGATATGCCCCAGACAGGCAAAACTCCCAGGCCAGGGAGAAACTGGAGAAGCCAGAAGAATGTGGTAGGCTCAGCACCATCTGAGCTAGACAGACCCATCTCGAATGAACCTACGCAGCTCATTTCCCCACAGATTCTGTGTCTGTGCTTAGACCAGTTGGGATGCTTGGGACACTTCTAGCTTCAGAACTGTCCCAGGATGAGCGCTGAGTGCCCAACTTGTGGGAGACTGAGCATCCCCGTAGGAGAAGCCCCACTTGGGGAAGTGTCTGGGGGTCCTGTCTCCTAGTCTGGACAGCTCAGAGCCACCACTCCAGATGCATTGAGCATATATGGAAACTGAGGCTCAGTAGGATGAGGGGCTTATTTAGGGATATGGAAGACCCCAGAGTCCCCAGGCCCCAGAGGTCATGACAATGGTCAGAACCTAGAGCTAGGTTCAGAGGCCCCAAAAAACTGGCATCTCAGAGGTGGAGAGGGCCCCTGGGACACCCAGGACTGTCACTGAGAATCGTAAGGTCCATGGGCACCACCCTGCTTTCCCTTACTTCCTGGCTGTGCCTTTCCAGAGCCACCGCAATGGAACAGCCCAACTCACACTTTCGAGGGTTGACTGTGGGACTAGTGTGACAGTCTGCTTCCGCACTTAGAAACACCTGGTACACACACCTGTGCACATCCCTTGGGCACACAGCCACCAGTGCACACACATGGACAAGTGCATGCTCACATATGTGTGCAGTGCATGCCAGCCTCAGTTCCACACACACCTGCCAATTGTCTTGGTCTCCAGAGAGAACTGGTGACCTCCTAGGAGCTTTGCCACACACTGCTGCTGAAGCCTTCCTACGGTGAGAATGCGCCTGGCCTGCCATGGCCTTAAGAAGGACACTAGCTCCCGGGCACAGAGGAAGACAGGATAAGGCTGCCCGAGGAGCAAACTCCAGCCGGGTTACCTTAAGCAAATGACCAAGGGTCACCTACCTTGGTTGGAAGCCTTTGTCCGCCAAAAAAATTTATGTTGGGGTCACCGGGCACAGACCTTATCAGCACTGGCCAAAACGCTAAGGCCTAAGCCCAGAGTATTGGCTCTGCCAGGGACCAGCCTAGGGGATGCTTTGGAGCCAGAGCAGGAAAGCAGCAGCGGCCACCAGGGGGCGCTCCAGCCCAGGCTGTGCAGACAGCTGCCCCTCCAAAGGTGTACAGTGTGTATGGGAAGACTCGGACCACGTTTTATTTTATGCCATTTGTGTGTCCCTGCCTTATTCCCTCAGAATAAGATGAATGATAGTTTTGCTTCGAGGTACGTTCCCCCAGCCCTGCTCCCTGAAGGTGACTCCCTCTTCTTGGTCTTTGCCCACTCCCGCCCAGCTGTGGTCTGAGGTCCCAGGAGGGGCAGCAGCGCAAGGACCCGGCCCGTTGGAGACTGAAGAGGCACCTGCCTCCCTGCCCTCCTTCGGACATGGGGATGAAGACCCTTCTTTCCTTGGGCAGCAGGGGGGATTTGTTGGGGTTTCTCCTGCCACTGATGTGTGAGGGGGAGCGGAGGGCAGAAGCGCGTGCACAGAAGTGCTGTGGGCAGAAAGTTCCCTGGAAGCGTCAAGTCTGAGCGGGCCAACACAGGAGCTCAGTCTCATCCACAGCACATGCAGAGTGAGAGGAGGGGGTCGGCAAGGGGCAACACGGACCCGAAGGCAGCCCTCGACACCCCCGGACTGCGATCCAGGCAGGACATGCAGGATGAGCCCAGCTGACTCACGTGTAGGACTCAAAATCTCCATTGCTTATGGCTTCAATCAGCTGCTCTGTCACTTTTATAATTTCCTGTTTCCGCACTGTAAAGCAGGAGGGGACACAGAGATGATAATAATAATAATAATGGTAGTAACAAAGCACCAACCTGTTTCCTGAGTCCTTAGGTGACGGAATCTGAGACCCTGTGCAAACTCTCTCATTTAGCCTTAGATTTCCCCTGGCAGATAAGTCCACAGTCCCCTTTTCACAGAAGAAGAAACTGAGGCTCAGACGGGTGAACGGGGCTGAAAGTCCCTTACACAAGAAAGGTAGAGGCAGATTTCAGCTGGTAGCACTCACCTCCAGAAAGTACGACGGGCATTCTGACTCTAGGCCAGGTTTGAGCCAAAATATGTGTCCCTTCCACCTGGCATTGCCATATGAATTCAAACAGTGTCACCGGCAGCAGCATCATTAATAGCATAAACCAGGGCTCCCCTGTGGCCAAATATGAGACCCTAAGGAAAGTCTTGGAGCACACTCACCCCTCATGTCTGGGTGAGCCTTCTACTCAACCTGGGTGCCTGTAGGAGTCTGGCACTGAGCTGTCTTGAACTTTCTAAGGCCAATAAATCCCAGTTGCCCTTCCCGCTCTGTTAATGAAACACCGAGCAGCTGGTCTTCTCTGGAGAGAATTAGACACCCATTTGCTTTTCTTTCTTTCTTTTTTTTTTTTTTTTTTTTTTTTTTTTTTTTGGGACTGGGATCAAACTTGGGTCCTTGCGCTTGCGAGGCAGGTGGCGGCACCACTGAGCCAAATCCCCGCCCTCATCCATTTTCTCATGAGACATGAAGTTCTGAGCTTTGGGTTCCCCATTTGTAAAATGGGGGTGTTACCACCTGTCATTCATCCAGAACCAAACACATGACAGAACCCAGGCAGATGGTTGTCGAAATTCCAGCCCAGGTCCTTCTAAGCTGGGCGGCCATGACTGCAAGACTGCTGGTCTGTCAGATGGAATGATGGTGTCTTCCTCCCAGGGGCTGCTGTGAGCACGGGATGAAGTGGTAAACATGAAACACTTGTCCCCAAGCCCATTGTACACACTGCCCATTTCCTGAAGCCCCAAGCCAGGGGTGGCCTCACCTGCCTCTCAAAAATAGACAAGACCAACACGGCCCTGGGTCACCCATGAGGTGACTGAGCCTCAGTGAGGGAGGAGTTGGACGCCTTGTGTCCTGTCTCCCTGAGAAGCCTCCCTCAGTCCTCAGGATGTGCCCTTCTCCCCCAAACACAGGCTCAGCCTCTAACCCCAGAAGCTGAGACTACAGGGTTGTGAGCTCAGGCCAAGCCTCAGAACTTTCCAGCTGGGGGCCTGGGAGGGAGACCAAGCCCGAATGAGGTGTCACCTGCCCCCTCCTCACCAGATGCCCGGAACACACCCAGGAGCTCACATCAGTTCTGGGACACGCAGAGACACCGAACATCCAGGCTGGAAGAACCTTTGGAAACTAGGGATTGAACTTCCTTGCCAAACTACTTCGGAAACTGAGGCCCAGTGAGGGCTTGGGATTTGCCCAGGGACATGGAACACTACAGGGGCAGACTCTGGCTCAGAGCCCAGGGCCTTTTCCACAAGGACTCCAGTGGCCCAACCCACTGGCTATTGTAATGCTGATCCCATGCAGTTGCTTGGCCCTCTACTCAATGTGCACTCATGAAGGCTGGGCCAAGGCCTCCCAGAGCCTGGAACAGACCTGGTCCCCTCTGGCCTCCAGTGCTGGCTGACAGGTGAGTGAGTCCCCAGTCCTGTGCTGTGTGCTTAACCTCAAGGTCTTGTGGCACAGCTTCTCTCCCACCTCACGAGCAAGTGGAAGGTGAGAAGCTAAAAGGCTGTAACAGAGCTGCTGCCTCAGCAGAGCCTGCAGCTCCCAAGCCCTCTCCACTCCCCGCTCCCAGGCACATGAGGGCCTGCTGGTGCTCTGTGCACAGACAGAGCATCTATCCTTTCATTGTAGTCACCAGTGCACAGCTGATTCCTTCTCTCCTGGCTCCAGTTAGAACCACCGAGGCAGGAATAAGGCCCTCTTAGACTCAGAGCGTCACCACATCGCTCCAGGAGTCATCCCTGTTCTCTGCCTGGCAGGGGCGGGGCAGCACTCAATACATACAGAGGGCATAGATGAGAGGGCAGGCAGAGGGACCTGAAGCAGAGTGGGGCGGCCATCTTTGCCCCACCCCTGGATTTGCCCAAATTGTATGGTTGACCCCCCCCCAGCCTGTCCTCCTGTCAGCTCCACCCTCTTCGCAGAAGCTAGAGACTGAGGGTGGGAAAGACTGGCCCTTGTAGGAGCTACTTCAGGCTAGCCACTTCCACACGGAATCAGAGGCAGCAAACCCAAACAAACCTATGTCCTCCTGACTGGGTTCGGGACCTGTGCCACCACCCTGGCCTACTCCGCATGGATTTTGAGACCCTTACAGCTCATCACACCATGAGCCTCTGCTTGATGTCCAGGTTCCTGTGGGTGGCTTCTTACTGCCATCACAGGGAGTCCAGGCTGAGGGCCTGGATTCTGGAGCCAGACTACACGCCCTTGGGCAAGGGACCACCCTGAGCCTCGATTCCTCATGTTACAGAGATACTAATAGCACCCACCATATTGGGCGACTCTGAGGATCAAGTGAGGTCAGACTGTGTTGGTAGAAGTGGCTAACACAGGCACAGCCCCCACTGAGATCCAGCTGCTGATCCAAGTCCCTAATGTCAACTCATTCGTGTAAATGGTAAGGACTCAGGTCAAGCATTCAGAGCAGTTTTGGCACTCCATAAGAGAGCTGCCATTTTTCCCGTCTGGAAATCTCAGCAATGGAAGCTCATCCCAAGCACAGCATGAGTCTCTGAAAGCAGCCTGATATAGGGGGCCCAGTCTCCATTGAGCCTCAGGGTTTGTGGCCTGCCAGGCAGCCCACGGCATTGTACACAGCTCTCACCATGAGTAGCTCCTTTCTTGAAGTTGAAATCTGTGTCCCACAAAGCCCTTAGTTATGATCCTGGTCTTTCTGTCTCCTGGGGCCCTAAAGCAAGCATTTACTTCCCAGTCTGTATGCCTCGCACCCAACAGTTTAGGGCTCGGGGCCTCCAGGCTGTGGTTTCCATCTGCCTCCGCAAGTCACCCACTCTTCAAGCCGTCAGACACATCTCCCAGTGTGATGTGTGTTTCAGGCATGGCCTGGGCAATGCAGAATTCCAGGTGTGGAGCGGCACTCTATCCCCTCTCCAGCTCTGGATGCTATACTTCCGTGACTGCAGCGTGAGCCAGAGCCTGACTTGGCCAGGCCTCCAGCCACTTGGGACCCAAGTCGGTCACAGTTAAAACCTAGAGGACAGGAATCCCCTTAGCTTTGATCTCTGGGACAGAAGACCTGGGCTCCTGGTGCTTCTTAGACCTGAGGTTCACTCTGGTTCTGGGCCATTCCCACACCTTCAGCACCCTGGTTGCTGTCCAGGGGTTCAGCCAGCCAGCTGCAGCTCTGGCCCTTCCTCCTCTGCAGGGAGCTCACCCCAGTGATGCTGATGTGCTTCCCTCCAGAGGGAACACCTAGGCCCCAGAGGTCCAGGGACACTCCTCTTCTTCTTCTTCTCCTCCTCCTCCTCCTCCTCCTCCTTCTTGTACCTGGGATCAAACTCGGGTCCTTGAGCTTGTGAGGCAGGTGGCAGAACCACTGAGCTAAATCCCCGCACACTCTTAAGATGATGTCACAGCACGCCAAGATGGGACCAATATCCCCGAAACTTCCCAGAATGTCTCTGCCCAGATTCAGAGGCGGCTGTTCCGGTTGGAGAGAAAATTAATTTTGCACAAGCTGTTCCAGAGGAGGCAGGAAAGTGGGGAGGAAGCCTGCGTGGCTCACAGGACAAGAAGCCTGGGCTCTGAAATATTCATGTCCTTTCGTTTCCTCGGGGGAAATTTGTTCCCTGGAGGATGACACAGCTAATTAACTTTAATGTTAGGTCGGAGCCCAGAATCCAACCTGCCAGCTGCCATTGTCACTTAGAAAGAAAGCTTAACAAGCTAATGCCAGAAGGTGGTCCTCCATCCCCCCAGGAACTTTCTTGGGGCCTGCGGAGGTGCGGGTAAGGGCTCTTCTCCCCACACACCACCGGGAGAGGCTCCTGGCTGAGGGAGGTCCCGGCCTGCAAACGTGGCCCCTGGGGCATTTTATCGTGCGGGGACACTGAGACAGCAAACCCGTGGTAGCCCTGTACCTGCCCTCCTTCCTCTCTGAACCTCAGAGTCTCCTCTGTAAGAAGTGAACAAACATTCAAGGTAAACCGCCTCAAATTGGTCCCCCGGAAAGGTGAAGACCGCAGACACTGGACTGCAAGGTCATGTGGTGAATGTCTCTGATGGCTCTCAGCCCACATTAATGGTACACACATTGCGCCTTCCATTCCAAAGGGCACTCTGTCTGTTTAACATGAAAATGTTTGTCTTAAATCATATTTCAGCAAAATGGACTCTCCAAGAATATGTTGTATGGCTTCCTGACATTTCAACTATGAACACCAGTTCGGAAAAAAAAAAAAAGAAATTAAGATATTTTTAAACAATTACCATGTGCTAAACACTCTGCCTGTACTTTACATGCAGCCTCTCATTTCATCTGTATGGTAAATTCCAAGGTTGGTACTATCATCGTCACCTCTTTACTGTTATGGAAAATGAGTCTCAGAGAGGTTGAGTAAGTTGCCCAAGCACACCCAGCAAATGGACTCCGCTGGAGTAGTACAAAACCAGGTCACCACCATGGTTTCTGTCTGCTCTGAGGCCAAGATTATGAGACCATATCCAGATGCCTCAGACCCTCAGAGCCTTACCTAGTGGGTCCTACCACTAGGGCAGAACACCTCAAATGTGGGAAATATCATAGTAGAGCCATATCTTGGCCCCCCAGGCCTGTGGAATTGGGATCCACAGAAACAGGGCTGGGAATATGATTAGGTCAGACTTGTGCAACTCCTAGTTCTGACTTGACCCTGACAGGAGAGTCTTCCAAATTTTTAAAGGTTGTCCCTGGTGCCAGTGGTGTTGAGAATACCCAGAAGGGTACACACAAGCAGGACCGTGTGTCAGGCTCTGGCGGGGTCAGGAGGTGAGTGGTATACAAAACTGCCCAACAGCCTGAGTCATGACAATGGCTGTATCACTGAATTCTTTTCAGGGCAGAATAACTAAACTCCTGAAAAATGTCTCCATTGGTACAGCCGTGTTCCCTCTGGGTGGATGGCCTTTTTCTACATTCCAAGGACTCCCCAGATGTCTCTGGCACATGCACGAGTGAGTCACCCAGGCTTCCTGTCCTGGCCGACAAGGAGGGTTGGGTGCCCAGGCACGGCGGAGCAGGGGGACATCGCTGATGCCTCCCGCGTGGTGGTGGCCAGCGGGCTCTGGAGCCAGACTGCCGGGGCCCAGCTCCCTACCCTACCCTTGTGAGCCACTTCCTCCAAGCCTCCTGGCCGGCCTCAGGGTCCCACCGTCTCCCTCGTGGACTTGCTGTGAAGCTCGGGTACTCAGGTCCAGACAAAGTACCAAGAACAAGGGTGGTCACAGTGAGTGCTCACAGATCGCAGCCGTGGATGCTCCTCTGTTTCCTCTCTCACAGCCCCGTCACAGAACCTTTGCTCCTCACTCCTCTTGCAGCATTTGAGGCTGCTTAGCTACTAGCTGTATTCGGACTTGCATCTCCGGATGGTGTTGGGCATTGGGGCCACAACTGGACTTTCTGGATATTTGCTCTCCTTTCCTTTTTTATTATCATTTCATGTTTTTAAAAATCAACTCACTTTAAGAAAGAAACTCCAAAATCCTTTTCCCAAAGTGAAAATTTATACCACCATTGTACAATATGTTAAATTTTTTCTCTAGTACACATTAAAGTAAATCTATAACCCTAAAGGAGAAAAACTTGTGTGTGTACTCCCTGTAGCCACGCCATGGGGAAGCTATGCCCCCTAGTGTACCCTGCCTGGTAGGAGCCCAGCAAGGCCCCGCCCAGCAGTAGGAAGCTGGCTGCACGAGGCCCTTCCAGCCAGGAGCTCCCGGTGCGGGGTCTGCCAGCAGGCACCGGCAAGTCTGGGGTCCAGACGCCAAAGGCAAGGCCCTTCCCTACCTTTGGTGTCTTCGTCCTCGATGGTGGTGTTGGTGCTCTCTGAAGATTCCTGTAAAGGAGAAGAAGGATGGTGGTGAGGCCTGCCGGGGAGCAGGACGGAGCATGGCCACCTGGCTGCCTGGTGCTGTAGCCGACTGCTGTGCACTTCGTGCCGCTGCCATCCAGATACTTCCTGAACCTGCAGACCTTTCAGCCTGAGGAGGAGGGGACCTACGGGGGGGAGCTTCAAGGAGATCCCTGACCTTTCTGGAAGGGCTGATGGGGGGATCCTGGGTCCTTTCTGCTCAAAGGGGCAAAGAGGGGGTGTGGAGGAGCAGAGAGACACCATGGCAGCCACAGAATGGGAAAGGAATACACACACTGGCAGGAGAGGAAGACAGAGAGAGGGGCACCCAGTGCGAGAAAGCGTGGGCTTTTCAGAGGGGAGAAAAACCATACAACTGTGTGAGACAGCCACGGAACCAGAAGAAGAGGGATATGGGCCACCGTGCCTCTCGTGGTGCCCCTAGACAGAGGCAGGGCCAGTGGCTCCTCTGCCTGTGTGGCCTGCACAAGCTCACGGAGGCCTCTTGGCAGCTGTGGCCTTAGCTAAACCGAACCCCACTCTGGCCGCAACTGGTACAAACCAAGCCCTGAGATGAGTTCTAGTGCAGAGGGGTGGGCGAAGCAAGAAGCCAAGGGTGGACATGGGATTGGGTTCAAACCACCTTTGCACCCCAGGATTGTTCAGGTCTGCTATCAGCCTGCCGGCCTGGGCCATGGAGGGAGGTGTCAACAGAAACACGCAAACAACACACACACAACACACATGTTGTCACACGAGGCACACGTACCACACATGTCCTGAGTACCCTCTCCCCACCCTGGGTTCCAGTGCAGCCTGCAGGAGGGAGGCAGGAGCAAGGGAGCAAGGGGCCAAGGCCCAGCATTTACCGGCGTGCAGGAGACGGCAGACACTCACCATTAACTGAACGCTGGAACTGGACTTTCTTTTCTGGAAAAACAAGGAGAAGAGATGGGACAGGAAAAGACACAGCATGAAAACGGCAGGGAGCAGAGAAACGAAAGGGCAGGTTTGGAAGGAGGATTGGCCTCCGGGTCATCCTCTGTGATCCTTTGCTGGCCTGGCCTCAGAACAAGGAGTCAGGGCCACCAGCCACAGCTGGCCTGGCGGGGCCAACCTCTCAGCCTGAAGCACTGGGTCCTTGTGCACAGCTGCCTGGGTCTAATAATCTAATGGTCAAGCTCAAGGCCAGCCCTCCCTCGAACCAGGGGTGCCCACTGCACTCATTCTGGTGAGGGACATCAGTCCTCTTGTCTCTTGGATGCCAGTTGCCTAAGGCCTTCAGAATCCAATGCTCTTGAAGGGCAAAAGTGTTCTCAGGCCCAAAGATGAGGCCAAATGTGTCCCCTGAGCTCCCCAAGCATCTCTGCTAAGAGGGCCCCACTTCCAGGGAAGCATTCTTGTCACTTGAGAAGCTATTTATTTGTTTGGTTCATTATGTTGCAGGGGTGGGGATTGAACCCAGGGCCTCACATGTGGGAGGCAAACACTCTACCACTGAACTCCGTCCCCAAACTCAGGAAATTTGTCAAAAATGCACAAAACCAGGTCCCTTCCAAGGAGTTTGATAACAAAGTCTAGGTGGGATTTGGCCACCTCCATTTTTGACAATATCCCCAGGTGATATTGGGGATATCAGGGCCAGGCATGGAGGCCTGGAGATGCTGCTTGCACTTTCAACTTCCCAGCAGCTCTCTCATCCAGCTCTTTGATGCTGTTAGAGACACTGAGATACAGTTGGAAATGAGGCTGCATCCAGAGCCTGAGTCTCATGGCCCTGCCAGCATTTGGGGGATCTGTAGCATCTCCAGTGTAGGCCATAAGCCAGGAGGTAGTAGAAATGCAGCTCACCTTCTCCTTCCCTCACTTTCAGAGCCCAGAGTCTTAGAGACTCACATTCAGCTGAAGACTGTCTGCCCAGAGAAGGGCGGAGGCCTGCCCCAGCCACTCAGAAATCCCCTTGCAGAGCCGAGGCTGGGTATAGGCCCTCACTTTGGGGTTCTTTCTTCTGCTGGGGATCCACCTGAGCCCCTCTAAAGGCTTGTCCTATCTGTGATGATTCTTTTCTTCTGAGAGGCCAGGAGGTAAAGGAGAGGCTATCTGAGATGCCTCTAGGGTAGGCCTGTGCCGTGGGGGGGTCACTGGATGTTCCCTGAGGATCTCAGGTTTAACTCTGTGCTTTCTAATTCCAAGATCCTCTGTGTGGCAGGTCCTAACCCTGTGCCCTCCAGGCAGGGCCTCCACAGATGTGGCAGGGGCAGCTCCTTGGGCATTTCTGTGCTCGTGTGCCCACTGGAGCATGGTTGCTCAGCAGCTTTCCAACTGGGCTGGGCAGTGTGACTTCACAGCCAGCAAACTGAAAGCCCCTCTCCTCTCCTCTCCTCTCCTCTCCTCTCCTCTCCTCTCCTGTCCTGTCCTCTCCTGTCCGGTCCTGCTGGCCTCCCTCTCTGGCTAGAGCCAGGCCAGGTGCATCATGTGGGGAGCGGGGACAGGCCTACATGGCTCAGCTGTCGGCAGAATCCCGAGGGGCTGCACAGGGGCCAGGCGGTTCCAGGCGGGACACGAGGAGGGAACACAGAGCAGAGACTGCATCAGATCGGGACGCACAGCGACATGATGGGACATGGGGAGAGAGGTCACAACGGCACGGATGGGACACCAACAGGGGCAGTGAGTGGAGTGAGGGGTGGGGCGGTGGCATCTCCTCATGGAAGCCAAGGCCTGCTTGGAGATAGAAGGACTCAGTTTCCCTGAATCGCAGAGGAGGGTGACATTAACCTTCCCACACTGACCAGCATTTTCGAGTTTGATTGACAAAGGGGCTTTCACTGAGAGTAGGGTCCCCACTCTCAGAATCACGTGTAGACCGAGGTTCTAAGGTTAGCGAAGGTGGTAGAAATCGAGTGTGGTCAACATTAGCCTTGAAAAGCCCCGCGAGGCCCTTAAAGTACAAGCAAAAGTCATCTCTGCAATGCCAGCCATTCAGCCTGTCCTCCACCGTCACAACCATCGGGTTCTCCTGCCAAGCCCCAGCTGGAAGGCGGTTTGTCTCAAAAGACCAAACTGTAGGAAGAGCATGGATTTCCTCTCTTGGGGGCTCAATCTGTGTGTGCTCCACTGGCCCCACCAGATCTCTCTGGTGTGACTTGCTTACCAGCTCTTGCCAAAAACTGCTAGATATCCCTTGTACAGATGACAGAACCCAGGACCTGGGTCCACAAAGGGAGGAAATGAATGGTGAGGCCTGGATTCAAATCCATGACTTTTTTTTTTTTTTTTTTTAAGAGAGGGTCTAACTATGTAGTTCAGGCTGGTCTTGAATTCACTATGTAGCCCAGGTTAGCCTCAAACTTGTAGCAATCCTCCTGCTTCAGATGCCCAACTGCTGGGGCTACAGATGTGTGCCACCACGCCCAGCCAAACACATGCTTCCTGACTTCAGGGAAACATGACTGAACCTCTCCCCTACCCCTGTTGGCTTCTTTGCTCCTTCAGAGAATGGCACATGTCAGACTGAGCTTCCCAAATCCTGGGCCAGGCCTCCTGAGTTATTCTCGCATTCCAGCTACCGAGGGAGAGAAGGAGGCTGAGCTACAAAGAGATGGCCAGGCCATGGATGGCCTTCAGTCTTCTTCATCCACACCCAGACTGCTCTGAGAAGCAGTTAGGCTCTGTCCTGTGCTGCAGGAAGCAGGGACACTGTTCAGCTGTGTCCAGTGGAAAACTGCAGTGATAGCAGAGACCCCCTGTGCCCTAAGCCGTCCTTGCTCTCTGCCAGCCTCTGCATCCTGGCCTTGTCTGAGAGAGGCTAGGTTTATCCCAGGCCCAGCGTCAGGGAGTTCCCCGCCCTCATGCCCACTGGAACTTTCACCAACCCTTGCCACATCCATCTGAAAGCCAGCAGCCTCAGGCAGCCCCTCCCCTTCCACTGACCTGGGCCATAGCCTACCAGCACCTGTGGCCTTTGCCCCACAAGCCCCATGCCGGGGCCAGGAAGCCCACTTTCCCTGGGGCCCAGCACCCTCAGCTCAGTGTCTGCACATCTCCAGTGACGGCAGCCCCCACACTGCGAATCCCTTTCTTACCCCTTCAGTTGGGAGAAGGGTCAGCTCAGGGGCAGCGCAAAGACCAGGCAATCCAAAACCCAGGGCTAGAATCCATAACAGATGCCTATCAACTTTACAAACTAAGTTGCTTTTGATCCATGGTTTCCAAAAATTTTCCCAAGCAAAGTCTGTGTTCAAGACCTGAAAGTCTAACATATGAAAGAGAGCCGACTATTCTGGTGCTCTTCTCATGAGAGAGAATCACACACCAGCTCCATGTTAAGCCCCCAGTGCACATTATCCCAGCTAATCTGCTCAAATAGCCTGAGGAGGGGACACCCTTCTAACCTCACTGCCTAAAAGAGGAAACACAGGCTCAGGGAGTCGAAACAACCAGCCCAGTTTAGCCCTCTGGTTCTCTTTACTGAGATGGCTGTGACATGGAGCTGTTCTGGTTGAAATGGGTGTGAGAGGCCTAAAACTTTGCAAAGCTGACCCTTTCTCACTCCACTGCAGCCTGTCTGCTGCCAGAAGGGCCTCCTCAGAGCCCCCGGACTCCACAGAGTTCAATTTGAAAACCACTGATGTGGACAGATTGGCAAATGATGTGGAGCCGGTCACTTAAGGACGTTTTGAGAAGTGCATCATGAAACGATTCCATTGCTCTACCGTCACAGCGTGTGCTCACACAAAGCCTTAAGTAGGTGCAATCCACAGCACGTCTGGGCCGCATGGCAAAGCCTATTGCTCTGTGCAGCACAGTACTGAACCAGGCACTGCAGGCCACTGCTTCATGGTGCCAAGTGCTTGTGTATCTAAACAGAAAAGGTGCTGCAAAAATAGTAGGCATTAGGGATGCTTTGGGCCCATTAGAACTTCTGCAACCATCACTGTATATGTAACCTGTCACTCACTGAAACATCGTCCTGCAGCACTGGACTTTAAGTATCCAAGAGAAGGGAGAATCGAAGAGGGATTTTGTTTGTCTGTTTTTAGAGTGGAAATCTTGGAAATGATCACCAAGTCCACACCTCAGCCGACATACCCCAGGGAAACTCAAGAAGGAGAAGGTTAAGGGCAGAGGTGTCCAGCCCAGACCTCCTCCCATGCAACCTCTGACAGGCCAAAGCCCTTGGCCTGAGGCTATAAAATAAACAGATCCATGAGGTCACCAGCACACAGTGGCCACGTTCGTACAGCAGCAGCTCATGCCTTCTAATGTCCTCAGCCTGCCCAGCCCTGTGTCCATGGCCAGACAGGACACTGAGCCCAGAATGAGAGAGGGGCTCAGGAGAGAAGAACCCACAAGGTGATTGGGGGGCAGAGGAGAAGGGCAGAGAGCAGAGAACCAGGTTCCAGAGAGCAGCGGGAGGAAAGAGAAGAGATGGAAAAGAGGGGCTGGCAGGGTGTGGAGGGAAGTACTTGGGCATCAAGGGTAGGGTCAGGGCACAGGCCCAGGAGAGGGGTAGAGAGTGGTTCTTGGCACTGAACCAGTGGGCTTTGGTGGGGAAAGAGACCTCTGGATCCCAAAGCCTAAGGGGATGGCTGTCCATCCACCACTGGCTCTTTTGGTTGGACTGGTTTGTCCAGCAGGTCAGGGGCCCATTCCAGCCCACCCACTCTCGGGCAGGAGGTCACCCACCCCTCAGGACCATTTCTGTCCCTCCTTGCACCTTTGTGCTCACCAGTTCTCCAGCCCTAGAGAACCCCAGAAATCTCTGACTGCCCTGTACCCTGTGTTATGCCAACCCCAGGCCATCTAACCCCACCAAGCATGCAGAGAGGGCAGGCACAGAAGTCCAGGTCTGTAGGTCTGGAGGTGGCCTGGCCACAGATACAACCCATGTCTGTCCAGAACACCAGCAGCAGGGCCCTGGCCTTACCCCAGGCCTGAAAGCCAGTCCCTTATAGGCAGAGATTCTGCCAGCGATAGGCCCTGCTGGGCTCCCGGGCGTCTCACCTTCACACCATCGTTCTTCTTGTTACCTCCACTCTTCCCTCCTGTGGAGGAGAGAAAGTAGAGGGTTAGCAACACGAGGCAGGGCACCAGGGCCCACAGAGCAAGGAAGAGCAGCATCCACAGGCAGCCAGAGAACAGCCAGAGGGTGGATGGTGTGGGAACAGAGCCGGCCCAGCAATGCAAAGGAGACTTCCTCTTCCTCCTCCTCCTCCTCTTCGTAGTCTTCTTCTTCCTCTTCCTCTTCCTCTTCCTCCTCTTTTTCCGTCTCTTCCTTTGTGTTCAGTGGCCCAAGGACTGCCAGTGGACCACTGGTGGGCCTAAGTTCCAATGTTCAGCAATCTCAAGTAACCTCTGGCTTCGTGGGTTGAGGGAGGTCTCCAACACGCCCCAGAACAGTAGGGTTGCTGTTACCGCCTGGGGATTCCCTCTGGATCCCGGGCACCACTGTGCTGATGGTGGCCAACCCAGAGACCTGGCTGCCTGGCCTGGGGCTGGATGTCCCCCCCAACCCCCCCATCCTCCACCCTGGCTCTCTAATTTTAGCCCCATGCTGCTGCGGAGGTCATGTGTCAGCCCTGCCTACTCACTCTGGACAGCTGCAGGCCGCGTTTTGCTGGTGACAAGAAGCAGATGCCCCCCGCCGGGGCCCACCCTTGCCAAAACACCCATGTCCTGCCTTTTTCCTCAAGCAGCATAGGCCTCCCTGGCCTCAGGCTCCGGAGCCCCACCCCAGGCTGGCTATGTCCCTGGTAGCAGGCAAGAGCAAAGCAACAGCTCTCAGGGGGGCCACCTCTGTTGCTTTCCCTCCCTCCTCATTTCCTGGCTGGAGCCCATGGAATGAGCATCAGCCAGGAAATGGCAGGAATGCCCAGCCTGGCCCAGCCTGGCATCCGGCTCCTTCAGACCGTAAGCAAATGTCTTAAACAGCACAGGGATTTCTGCTGTACTCAGCACAAAGTGGCAGCCGTGGTCAGAACTTAGGCAGCCTCCAGGGGGTGAGCAGGGTGGAGAAGAGGGATAGGACACATGCCCCAGGACAACGGGGGGTGGGGCTCCTCACTGGCCCCCCACACTGCTGCCACCTATGGCCCCTCACAGCTTGCAAACCAAGGGAGGAGCACCGCTGCATCCTGAGCCTGAGATGAGCAGCTGTCTGTCCACCCACGGGGTTGTGGGTTGGCCCAGGGATGAACGGCTGGGCAGGGGTGCTTGTCCCTCCAGCCCCAGGGAGTGCAGCATTATTGCAGGGCTTTGAGGCCAGCGAGGTCACAGACTCTCCAGAGTTTTAATCTAAGTCTTTCTATGAAATCTTCTGATTTGTTTAAGTGGTAGCAACCTGCCACCCCGCAATTTTTAAAACACTCCTAATTCTATAAAGTATATCCAAAGACAAGGTTGAACCCAAGGGCCCGTGGGCTAGAGTTCTCCAGGATGCTTCAGCTGTTAAAAAAAGATTCTGACTGTCTGGCTAGCTCATCTTGCAGTTTAAAGAGCTTGCAGACTGCTGTCTGGGGAGAGGATAGAAAGGCAGCTCACTGTGGGGGAAAGCCTGAGTCTGAAGTTCTGTCTGTTTCCACCTCCGGGCCTCACACCTCCCAGCTGGTATCGGCTGGAAGCAGGAGGGCCCTCCCGGGGAAGCCAGCCTGTGTCATGCTCAGACTGACCTCGGCTGTGGTGCCAGTCCCGGGCCCCAGCTGAGGGCCCCTCGGGTGAGCTTTGCCATACCTGCCATCTTTATCTGCCCTGCTGCCCTGTCAGCACCTTGGGCTCCCAAGAGACGGCCTCGGGGGGCACGGGCCAGCCACTGCCCCACGTACCAAGAGGAGTCACTTGCTAAGCCCGGACAGTAATCCCTTCCCCTTCTCTGTTTGGGGCCACAGGCCCAGGTAGTTGGGCAACTCCCCGCCTTACTCAGCCTGGCTTTGGCTAAGGGCCAAGAGGCTCCAGCTTGGTTAAGGACACTCGAGCTGCTCAGACCTGTGCTGAAGTCGGTCTGCCTCACCCTAACCCCGTGACCTGGGGTGTCAGAGCTCACCTCCCTGGGATCGTTTCCTCCTCCAGAAGAGAGCGATGGCACCAGCCCCCACAGCCTGTCAGGAAGGCCACCTGGAGCCTGCTCAGCACAGGACTCCAATAAAGGGGCAATACAGTCCTTTCCCCCACTGCCCCTGGCTCTGTCCCTACTGTCCTGAACCCCTAAAATTCCAGACTTCTCTTCTGGCTGGCCCAGCCTGAGAACCTTAGTACTGTTGGGAGGCAGGACAGCCAGGCTGAACCTCGAACTGGGTCTTGACTCACTCACTGACCTCTGACCTCTCTCCCTCTCTTGCTTTGCCTTTTTGGGTACAGGTTTGAGGCAGATGAGCTAAGCCATGGTCGGGGAGTCCTCCGCAGCCCCCATTCAGGGACCCAAATATCCAGCAGGACAATGTTCCCAACAGATCAGTGCAGGCTCTCGGTACTGGGGACTCAGGCCCCACCACCTACCGGAGAAGTTCCTGGTGGCCAGCATGGTGGTGAGGATGGCTCCCTGCAACAGAGAAGAAGGGCCAGGGTGGAGTGAGGGGGAGAGAGAGGCAGAGAAACGGAGCGGCGTGAGAAAGGGCAGGTCGCGCTCCCTTCAGAGACCAAGGCAGAGCCTCTGCCTGCCCTCCATTCGTCCCCCACCCCTCCTGCAGCCCAGAGTCCATCTCCCTCCCTGGCTGCCATGGCTTATGGGACGGGGCCATCCCAGGAGCAGATATTAATAGGTCCCGAGGCCTGGCCAAAGCTAATGGGCCTGAAGGAACCTGCCGTAGAGGCTCCTAAAGGCCAGGGAAGTGTCCTCCTAGGCAAGGACAGCAGACCTTGCATCCCTCTGCTGGGCCGGCAGCACCTTGCTCAAGGACTAGTTCATCTGTCCCTGGACCTTAGGGTTCTCAGTGTGGAGAAATCCTAAAGGGAAAAACCCTCCTGGCTGCAGCTGCCTCGTGCGGACCTAATCCCAGTCTCTCAGTCTGATGGTCTCTCATGTTAAGAGTCCCTGATTCACATGTGAGACGCCCTCTGTGACAGCTCTCACTGTAGGGTGGGTTGGGATTTGGTTCTCCTGGCCTCGTGCTGGCATCACCGCCATGGCCCACGTACATCCCCACGGACCCCCAATCCAGGTCTGGGAGCAGTGGGCAAGGAGGTTCCCACAGAGCTGGAGCTCCACGCCTGCCTCCCTGTCCTCCAGTTTACAGCCCCTGTGGAACACCTTCCCCTTCTGGCTCTGCCTTGGGCAGAGTCTCCACCTAAATACCACTGGCCCCGGGAAGCCTGCTGGGACCCTTCTCGGGCCCTTCCACACCTGGAAATGCCACTGCCCAGCGAGGTCCTCTTCCCGCTCCGGCACAGCACTTACCACTGCGCACCAGCAGAGGCTTGGTCAGGGTGGGGACAGGGTCTGATCGCAGCTCACTCCCCAGAGCCCAACCTGCTGTCTAGCATGCAGTAGGTGTTCGACAGATGCTTGTCAAAACAGTGGAGGAAATAACCAGAGAGCAAGTCTCACAGTCTCTGACATACCCAGCTGGGCTGCTCCTCCGACTTGGGGTGGAGGGTGGGGACTTGTTACCTTCAGTTTCCTCCTAGCGTTGAACTTCTTCAGGCAGTCCACGGTCTCCTGTCTGTGCATGCACGAGGCCACAGTGGAGCGGTGCTGGGGACAGGGGCGAGAGGCGCGTCAGGGGAGGGCAGGCTGGAGGACAGGCCTACCGGGACCCCTCAGCAGGGCACCTTCACAGCAGTGTGGTGGCAGCATGGACAGCACACTTCTTTGTTCTAGAGGGTGATGTGGGACGCAGAGGATCCTGGCACACGTCATTGCTGGTGACGTTCCCAGGCACGATACCAACCCAGGACATCCTTAGTTTCTCTATTACCCACAAGTGTCACAGCAGGGCTGGAGCTCCTTGGATTAAGCCCTATCAACCCCATTCTGGAGCTGAGAGGCCAAAAGCAGGGCTCTTGGGAGGACCCACTGGAGAAGGCTCACCGAGATCCAGGGGTGCTTGAGGGCCTCCGCAGCTGTAATACGTTTGGATGGGTTAATGGTCAACATCTTATTGATCAGATCCTTGGCTTCCGGAGTGACGGTGTCCCATTCAGGTGACGGGAACTGGAAGGGGCAGAGGGGCCAGGCTTGCCCAGACTGCCCCAGGCCACCCCTGCGATCCCCCAGCCCCTGACTGGCAGGGGAGCAGGCAGGGGCTCTAACACCTATCCACTAGGGCATCTACCACCGGGAGTGGGGCTCCTCTGGAACAGGGGAGGGTCAGGATGGGCCCCTTAACAAATCAGAACGTGGCCAGAAGGAAAGGAGACAGTGGTCATGTCCAGACCGCAGGATCAGAAGGCCTGGGTTCACATCCTGCCTCTGCCTCCTAGGCTGAGAGACCTGGGCAGCTCATGAGACCTCTGAGCCACCCTAAGGATGTTGCAAGGTTTAAATGCCATATAAAACCCATGGCACACAGCTGGATGGATCCAGCCTCACAGAAAGCAGTGCAGCTCAGTAGTTAGATGCATGCACCAGACTGTGTGGGTTCAAATCCCAGCCCTAGCATTTCCTGGGTGTGTGATCTAGACAGTTGCTTAGCCTCTATATGCCTCAGCCTCCTGGTCTGAGAAGTAGGGTTAATACTTGTGCCTGTCACAGATTCACGTGAGATTAAAGGTAATAACATATGTAAAATATTCAGAAGAATGCAAGAGTTAGATACTGCTATTGTTGATACACAGGAGAGAAGACACGGCTGGGGTCTCCCTCATCCCCTGCACTCTGCTTTAGTGTTGCTTTTGCCCTCTGTGGCCCTGGAATAAGTCCCCTCAATTTGAGCCCCTTGTCATTGGGGACCTGGAGATCACCAGCCCGTCAGTCTTCAAGCCCCCCTGCGATTTGACCCCTACCCAAGCAGTGAGTGACAGGGGAACCTAAGAGAGCTGGGAAGGCCAGAGGGTTGTGTCCTCAGATGCTGGAAGGGGATCAGAGGGTGACCAAACGGCGGCTGGAGGGAGGAGCGACACTCACATCATAGGCGCCAGCTTTGATCTGCTGGTACAGACGGTGCTGGTCCTCATCCCAGAATGGGGGGTACCCCACCAACAGGATGTACAGGATGACCCCTGGGGAGAGGACCAGGAGAGACTTCAGCCCCTGGGGAGATGGATGAGGGGCAATGGAGAGCAGAGAGGGCTCCCAGAGTCACAGCCACCCAGGTGCACAAGTGGGACCTCGAGGGACTCACCACAGGCCCACAGGTCCACGGGCTTCCCGTATGGGTCCTTCCGCAGTACTTCTGGGGAGAGGTATCCGGGCGTCCCTGCGAACCCTGCTCCCCAGACACACAGACAGGCAGACACACACACAGAGGTGGCACGTGAGTAACCTGGAGCAAGGCCCTGCGGGAGAGGGGAGGAGGTTGCCCTGGGGCTGGAGGAGACAGCCCTGCCGCCCCAAGCTTGGGAAGCTGGCAAAGCCTCCAGAGCAAGGCAGACAGTACACCGCGCACTCGCCACCACTCCGGTGCCTACCGCAGACAGCAGGAAGCAGTCCGAGCTCCTTCCCACTGGGTCCTGACTGGGGATCCTGAACTTTCCAAAGCAACCCACCCAGCAGCCGCTGTGAACCAACTGGTGGCAACTTCAAGATGAAATGCACTTGCCACGTCAGCCCGAGCTGAGAGCTGAGCCCCTGCCCGCTCCCACTCCCCGGAGTCAGGGGGCCTCTTCCTAATTCTGCCTTTGCCCCTCAGTCCCTTGGGTGGCTTCTTTACCTTCTAGGCCTCAGTTTCCCGATCTGTCAGAGGATTAGGGATTCCTACCTTAAATACTTCCCAGTATTGTTGAGAGGATCAAGTGAAATAAAAGAGCCCCAAAACATTTTAACAAGTAACCATAGAAACAGTCACTAGTTACTGCGTCTGTGTGCTAAGCACTGGGCTGCACACTTTCTGTGCCTGGTCTTCATTAATCCTCAAATAGCCTTGGAGGAACAAGCTATTTTTATCCTCATTTTAGAGACAAGGAAACAGAAAAATGAAATAAGTCACACACTGCATAAATAATACAGTCAGCATTTGAACCCAGAACTCTGGTTCTTGACCACGATCTAGATTGCCCACTGAAAAGTACCCAGATAGGGGAAATATGCAGAATCATGCCAAAATTTCACGGTATGCTGGATCATCTGAGCGTAAATCCTGACTTCACCTTTTTAAGTGCCCTTGAGCTATTACAAATTTCGCAGCCTGTTTCCTCCTCTGTAAAATCAGGTTACGATCTCCAACATCCAGGCATAGGAGGCCTTGTGGAAGCCCTTCCACCAGCGAACACTCAGAAGAAGCCATACTTCCGACTGGGTAAAGACCTGTCCCTGCACCTGGTCCCTGGGGTGATAGGATGGACAGGGCGCGGAGGCCCACAGGCTGGGTGGGGTGGAGCCTCTGTAGCCAGCAGCTGTCTCCAGTCCACCCACTTCGGCAGAGGGCCCTTTGAGCCCCAAGTGTCAGCACAAAGGCCGCCCCCCACTCCGCCGACCACCCCACAAAACCTGTCCCACTCACCAAACCATGCCTGCTGCTCTCCCTCCACCTCTATGGCCAGGCCAAAGTCAGCCAGTTTCACCGCGGCACCCTTGAGCTTGGAGGCCAGCAACAGATTCTCCGGCTGCCCAGGACCAGGGAGAGGGAGAGAGGGGAGGAGAAGGCAAGACAGTCAACAGGGTGAAGACCTCTCCCTTCTTTTCTGGGCTTACAGCAGGAGCCAGGACCCTGCCCTGCCTCCAACCTCACCCTAGGACCCTGTGTTCAGTCCTCAGAAAGGGATCTTTTGGTGAGAACTTCATCTTCTGCATCATACAGATCTTTCCTCCATCAGCCACCCCAAGGCCTGGAGCTGGGGCTGAAGGAAAACTGGGGACAGGGCTGGGGGTGGTTCTGCCATAGGCAGTAAGGGAACAGCAGCATTTATGGGGCTCCTACTGTATACCAGCCAGGCACCCTCTCATCTACCACCTCAGTAAGCTCATGCCGTAGGTCATATTGTCCCGTTTTCCACAGTGGCCTTCTTACGCCCCTGAAACAGTCCTATGTGTCAGCACCTCAGGGTCTTTGCCCCTCCTAGTCCCATCGCCTGATTCGATCTCCCTCCAAGCCTCTCTTTATCCAGCTCTCATACTGCGTCACCCCTTCAAAGAGACTATTCCATCAAAAGACAGGGACCTCAGATGTCCTCCATCCATTACTGTCACCGAAGTATTTGTCCTCTGTGAGGAGATGAGGAAACTGAAACTCTGAGAGGTCAAGTGATTTGACCAAAGTCGAACAGTTCTAAGTGACAGAGTCAAAATCAAGGGGAAACTGACTCCTATTAAAGGATGAAAGACTCCTATTTGGATGAATTTGGATGAAAGATGGTAGGGTTTGACCACAAGACCAGAGCTGACCTGGGGAAAGCCCCCACCTGGCCCCTCGGGAACCGTGGTTGCCACCTTGCCCTGGCCCAAACCCCTGGAATTTCTCCCCTTTTTGCGGGTCCCCCTCCTCCTCAGGACTCAGAGCAAAGTGCGGGGTGTCGCCTCCACGCTCAGACAATGCCAAAGCTGACACCTCTGTTCTGCAGAGCTTGGCCAAAGTGGCCTCGCTTCTCTGAGCTTCACTTTCCTCTCAGAGAAATCAGGACACTGCCCACCTGTCAGGGTGGTGTCTGGATTAACTGAGACGATCCACGCAAAGCATGTGCGGTGTGACAGGAAGTGCTCGATGAACATCCCTCGTGTTGGCTGCTTTGGCTCGTGTCTCCAGAGACAGTAGCTTTCCGCTCTTTTTCTGACCTTTCCGGGGGCTTCCAGGACCCCCCCGCCAGTCTTTGAGGATACAAAGCTAGCCTGGACCCAAACAAATATAGATCCCTCTGCCTGGCTTTTCAGCTCCTCCTTTGTCCTCTAGGGACTCTGTTCCCAGCATCTCCTGGGTCTCCGTGGATGCCCTGCCCTGATTTGATGAAGGTGCCACTAATTAGAGTATCCATCATGGCCTAAATTTGGGCTGCTCCTGTGCAGGAGCTGGAGCTATAATGGGAACGGGCCCGGTGAGGAGCCGCCCGGCAGTCTGGCCGAGACCTTCTTCGTGTGCGCACCTGCCCATGGGTCTAGACCTGGGCCACAGGTGAGATGAAAAGCAGGGACTGCCAGAGACACCCAGAGGTGGGCAGGGCTCAGTTCAGATCACTGTGCCCCAAAAAGGACCCCGGGCCACCTGGAACCGGCACTGAGTGGCCAGGGTGAGGAGGCCCTGGAGCTGGCATCCTCAGTGGGAACGGGGACCAGAGCCGCCTAAGACGTGGGCCCCCCTTCAAAGCTGCCCAAGTCCCTCCAGAGCCTGCTTGAGCTGAAAGCTTGATTTCAGTGTGGTTCCAAATGTGGTTCAAGGAAAAATCTCTCGGCACAGCAAAGGGCAAAGGACCATTCCCGCAGGGGCAGGGGTGAGCCCACCGAGAGTGAGCTCACTGTCACCCAAGGCTGGAAGCAGTGCCGCTCTAAAGAGGACTGAGGCAGGGCAGGAACTAGATGAAATGGCTTGCTGGCGTCACATTCCAAGGTCACAGGATCTGGGGTTAGAAGGCCAGGGCTCCCTCACCCTTGCTGTGGCACGTGAAAATGCTTGTCCTTGGGCAAAATCCTTGGATTCTTTCAGCCTTTGTTTCCTATTCTGCCAAAATGAGGAGGACCTGAGCTATCAGCCACTGCTGCCGTGAGGCCCAGTCCAGAAGCTCCAGGCAGTCCGCTGAGGCCCAAGGCTGTTGGGCCTGGGCCAGCCCTGGATGGCTTGGTCCTGTCCATGTCCCTCTTCAGGGGGTAAGAGGGAGGCCTCAAGGGCCCCGAGTCCTGGTTTCTTTCCTGCCGCCCTACCAGAGACCCGGGACAAGAGGAACAGCGTGTCTGTGTCCCAGGCACCGAGCTCTGTCTTCTGACAGCCGCCCCAGAAGCTGAGGTTGCTATGACAACCACTGCTGTAAGGACGCTGGGGCACAGGGAGGTCAAGACAGTCAAGGCTGAGGAGGTACGTTGACCAGCTGGGATACAGACACCCTCATGGTGACAGCCTGCACTGTGCCTGGCCCCTAGTACGAAGCTGTTAGACTGGGAGTCGGGAAACCTGGGACCCACACCCAGCCACTCTGCCTTCCCAAGATCAGTTTCCTCACCTGACAGCAGGGGAAAATATTCCCACCCACCTAACTCAGAAAATTAAGGGGATTCCGGCGCCACCCAGCTCCGTGGGAGGCAGGCAGTGCAGAGGGCAGGGGCTCCAGGTGTCAGGTCCCGGGCTGCACAGGGCTCGCTCACCTTCAGGTCCCGGTGCACCACCCCCATCTGGTGGCAGTGCAGCACGGCCTCCAGGATCTGCTGGATGCAGTGACTGGGAAGAGAGATGGAGGTCACGGCTGAGCACAGGCCTTCTCAGGAAGCCTACAGCAGGTCGGGTGGGCCCTGCCCCAAGCGCCGCTGCCAGCCACACCTGGCACTCACCTGGCATCTGCCTCACTGTAATATTCCCGGGCCACGATATCTTCAAAGAGCTCCCCACCGGTGACTCTGGGAAGACAGGTACTGAGTCACCTGCTGCAGAGGCGTCTGGTGCCGACCTGCTTGCAGGAGTCTCCAGAAAGCTAAGGTCTGGGCCCAGGAACTCAGAAGCTCGGTCCCAAAAGGAGGCAGCCAGGGCTACTGGGGTGTCCCCGCCGCCACCCCTACCCCTCTTCCCACACACCCTTCCCTCGCTGATGCCCCCTTCCATTCCATCCCTCCCTTCCTCCGTAGTTGGGCTCTTCCTGGTGTGGGGAACTCTCAGATTACAGCACTGAGCCCAGCTCCTGGGAGCCTAACAGCTGTTTGGCTTTGCTTGGTTTGTTTTTTTGCTTTTGTTCCTTTGTTTTATGGGCTCTCTCTCTCTCTCTCTCTCTCTCTCTCTCTCTCTCTCTCTCTCTC